AACATCATAATAAAATGAATACATATGTAACTTACTTAAGTCTAGAATGCTCATTCCAACATATATAGGTTTATTCAGTTTAACCTTCTCTTTTAACTTCTCCACTCCTACCAGATTTTCATTTATTATATGTCTATGCTTGAAGGTAGGATTATTAACGCATTTAGCGTAGCGTTCCTGTGTATCCACTAGTTCAAAGTTTATATGCTCCCTTACATTCTCCATCGTTTTTCCATACACCGCGTTGTTCATTAATTTATACTTGTCTTTCTCAAAGTCGGATGTTGCTTGTTTTCTCTTCTCGGTGTTGAAGTCAATCCACGGTTTTAGCCACTCCTTCTGTTTGAATTCTATTACCCTATTTACCTTTTTCAGTTTCAGCCCTTGTTTTAAGTAATACTTTAAAATATTAATATGTAATACATAATTAGACTTATCCATAACATTTAATATTAACTTCTTCGTTTGTTCATCTTTTGGTTCCTTTTTCTGGTGGTATGACTTGTATATTTCCTTCTGGCAATCGCTCAACATATTAGCATTTACATTCATTATCTGCGGTGCTAGTGGATAATCAACATGTTTATCGTGTAGTTCTTTAGGGTATTCTAAATCAACATCTAAAATATAACCTTCGTTGTCATTATCATAATTGAATATCTCCTCTTCTGCAAAGTTACTTGTATCGTTAATAAACTTGATGCCTTTGTAGGGTAGTTTCTGACACATTGCTAAACCATATAGGTTATTAGCATCTAAATAATTAATGTAGGATGTTTCTTTATTTTCGTCGTATTGTTCTCCCATATAGGGGTTATTTGCTTCTGCTTTCCTTAAACTGGTCTGGCACATCCCACCACGCAACCCGCTTTCTACCATCTTATAGATGTCTTCGTCATGAATCAGTTCTAGTTCTATTCCCGTTTTAAGTAGCGTAGCATCCCAACTAAAATTAGGCAGTGTTATGTAATGAGCGGGGTCTAATCCAGAATCCACTAAACAGGTCTTTCTGAAGTTCTCAAAGACATCCGTTAGTAATAAAACATCAGTCTGTAAGTATAAGTCATGATACTGACCTAGGTTTTTTATCTTAAAATGTTCCCATATCTTATTTGCTCTATCGTATTCCGATTGTTTAATCCCTTCTTCTGTTAATTTGCTGTAGAAGTCCTCTATTTTGGGTAGTGATGTTTCATTAAATCTATTAAAATCAGTAAAATAATCGTAGGGATAAACCCCCTTATCAGTTAATAAATCTAAATCAGTATCATCATTTACATAAACGCTCTTCTTACTAAAAGTAAAGCCATTCTGCCATTCGTTCCTCTTCTCATTATCTTCATACTTAGTCAGTTTAACTAGTTTATCTAGGGAAGAAGATAAGAAACTAAAGCTGTCCTTAAACTCTAGATTATCAACCGTAAAGGTTACAAACTTCTCGCTGTTCTGCGCTATTACGCTTATCTTGTCCTTGTTCTTATTTAGCTTCTCCATATGTGATATTATTAGGTGAGCATCATAATTTTTAAGGTTGTGAAAAAATACTGGTATTTTAAAGTATTTGAAACAATAATCTAAATTACATTTGTTGTGTGCGGCGCCCCTATATTGTCCAGTAAAGTGGCAGTGGTCGGCCACTTTAGTTTTTGCTGGGTCTTTCGGGTTGAATTTGCCACCGCATATAAAGCAATGTTTTTCTTTCTTATGTTCTTCTTGTTGTTTGGTCGTCCATTGTAGTTTCTTATTCTCCTTCATCTTGTCCATAATCTCTTCTTTTATTTTATTAATGGTTGAACAGAATCTATCCATACAATCTTCACCTCTGTATAAATAAGGTGTTGCTTCGTTTGTTATGCTATTAACTACATTTAACATAAAACCGCAGGGCTTATGATGTTGGTAAGCCCCTTTCAGTGGCTTAGGTTCATTTTCATTCACGTAGGTGCCTTTTATTCCATCAGATGAAGGGGTTGTTAAGCACTCAAAGTCACCATAAATAACATATGGGCACTTAAGTTTCTTGTAATGCTTTTGAAAACTCATTGTTTCATTTTCTTTTGGCATTACTATTTGTTGTATTTCGTGTGCCATACATCCTTTTAGTAAATGATTGTTAAGTAATGACTCCTTGTTAAAGCCGTGTTGGCAGTATCTACAATGAAATAGTTTTTCCCTGTGCTTGTTTGTTTGTGCTCCCATTAAACGGCTGTAGTCCTTTATTAAAACATAATGGCTATTATTATCCTCTTCTAAAAGTAGTAAATTAACGTGACACGATGGATTCTTAATTTTAGAAATTTTATCAACTACAATGCTATTAGTGCCGTTTGGGTCAATGGCATAAACATTAACAGATATAGCTCTATCGTTTATTTCTTCAAAGGTGTCAATGTCTTCATTGGATGCTGGAAACTCTACACCATCCCACTTTATTAAATTATCATTTTCTTTTAGTTTGTTGTAATGATACATCCTGTCGGGGTGGTCTTTCTTCATTATCTCGTAAAATCTGGATTGGACGCAGTATTTGAAACAGTAATCGTCGTCATTCTTAATATTAATACATGCCTTTTTAGTAGCAATCCATTTAGGTAATTCAATATATTTTCCTGCCCTTGTTGGATTGTATTTGTCATAATGGATTGTGATTTTTTCAATGTGGTCTATTCTATATCCTGATTTGTTGAGTGCTGAGTTTCCTATGAGAATTTCTATGTCTGACGCCATATTATCCACTGCGTTCTTTAATTCTTCTGGGTTGTTAATCGTATAAATTCTGCTTGTAATTTTAAAAACCGCTTGTTCTTCCATTTCTATATGTGTAAAAGCAACGTCTGTATCAATCCTAATTTTCATGTTGTTGTTCTTTTCTAAAAACTCTCTTAGTCTCGGTTCTTGATACTTCAAATGTGTTAGTCCTCTTGTTCCCTTTAATAATGTTGATATGTTTGTAATAGAATATGAGTTGGCATATCGTTTAAAGGCACTTGTTTCATTTGTGACCCTTGCTTTTTTACTAATAACATATTTCTTCAATGCCTTTCTAATTGCTATGCCTTTCGTTGCTGTCTTTAATATATCATATCGTTTAAAACCCTGTGTTTTGGATACTGTCCTGAGTTTCTTCTTTAATCTATTTGAAAGTGGTTTTTCTTTATTATATGTGTATTCCTTTTCATCTATAATAACCTTGTTTAGGTTTTTATTCCCACGCGTTTTTATGTTGCCTATGCGACTACTTATTAGATAGTCCATTATATAATCATAATCCGGTTCTACCATATACTATATAGTCGTTTTTTCTTTAAGTATATTTGGGCTAGGTTTTGCTTTGGTGGTTTTGAGTTGGGGGTCTGGGGTTGTAACATAACTCGTATATTTGCCTTTGTTAAGTATAAATGCTCTTATTGAAATGAAAGAAGACAATACCCGATGGGTGGTTACAAACCTGACGGGCGTTGAAATCCCGAGGGTTCGGGTTTGAAATCCCGAGGGTTCGGGTTTGAAATCCCGAGGGTTCGGGTTTAGGAGGGTTTTTTAGTGTATTTATAAGGGGAAAAGCACCTAATCCCGAGGGTTCGGGTTTGAAATCCCGAGGGTTCGGGTTTGAAATCCCGAGGGTTCGGGTTTTGGTTTCCCGAGGGTCGGGGTTTGACATAACAAGTGCCCCAAAATGGTTTAAAGACTACGCCCCTTACTATAGTATGGAGAATATGAACCAAGAATGTAAGCAATGCTCAAAATGTAAAAAGTCTAAAACCCTAGACAACTATAGACCTGACAGAAAACTATGTAATCAATGTTTAGAAGAAAAAGCGAGATATAGAGAGAACCACCGAGAAGAAATAAGAGAGAAAGCAAAAGAGTATTACCAAGAAAATAAAGAAGCTGTATTAAATAGGAAGAAAGAATACAGTGAACAAAACAGAGATAAAGTATTAGAACAAAAGAAGGCATACCGAGAAAACAATAAACAGAAAATACAAGAAGCACAGAAGGTATATTATGAGAAGAACAAAGACGAACTATTAACCAAAAACAAAGAATATCAAAAGCAAACCGTGGAATGCCCAATTTGTAAATGTCAAATCGGAAAGTATCGTGTATCAATACACGAAGAAACCAACAAACATCAAAGGAATTTATCAAAACAACCTGAACCAGAACCATAACAATCATAACATTATTATTAATATAATGAAATGATTGAAACACCCTAAAACCCTAGGAATAACCCAAAGTTAAACAATGTCTAGACCGAACTAAGCCCAGACTAGGCTTTATGTTAGGCGTTTCTATGAACCGCCTAACTAAAGTCAATTATAGTCTAACCCAGAGACCGAAAATAACGAATAAACCTACCAAAACCAAAAGTTAAGAATAACTACTAGGCCTAAAAATGAAAACATCAAAGGGGAAACAAATACTTAAAATAAATTATTACACCTAGGGTCAAGCACTAAAACAAACGAGGTAACAAGCATAGACACACATACAGAGAAAACGAATGAACCATAGCAAAGACAAAAACAAATAAGAAGACCATTAACCCTAGACAACATTTAGACCCTAGAAATTGAAATGAAACAGCAACAAATAATTTTAAACGATAGGTGACAATGATGAAAAGTAACAAATGAAGCAGACACAGCAACGTCTAATGACCTTGACCTGACAATCCCCCTTATACATATTTTTGGGGGGGCGGGGAAGGGGGTCTGGCCAAGCTTGAGTTGGACTTATTGACTCCACGGCAGCGGGCCGAAGATGATTTCAAAAAGCAACCGTCAGTGAGGGCTTGGGGTTTTGGGTTTTTGTGTTTTGGGGTTTGGGGGTTTGGGGGTTTTGGGGTTTAGGGTTTTGAGTTTTGGGCTCGGGGGGGGTTTGGGGTGTTGGGGTTTTGGGGTTTTGGGGTTTGGGTTCAGGGTTTAGGGTTTGAGCTCAGGGGTCTGGGGGCTACAACACGGGCTTTGCTCTCTGGACTTGGATCTACTTCCCGCCTTGAACTCTTCGACGATTTCTTGGAGCTCCTGGTTTCGAAATAGGGTTAAGGGCTCGGGCTTGTGGGGCCATAAACCTTGAACCCAAACCAAAATCCCCAAACCCTAAACCCTAAACCCGAAACCCTAAACCCTAAACCCTAAATCATCCTGACTACACCGGCCCCAAGTCCAAGATACAGAAGCACTGCAACACCTGACACATTGCTGGGCCATGTCCTTGTGGAAACTAGGGCCCCCGACCTCATTACGCGCAACCCGAAGGTTTAGGTTTAGGGTTTAGGGTTTGGGGTTTGGGGTTTAGGGTTTAGGGTTTGGGGTTTGGGGTTTAGGGTTTAGGGTTTAGGGTTTCGGGGTGGTTCAGAACCTGCGCCAGAGCCGCAGTCCTGCTCCGCTGCCTGCGCCCCACGCAGGAGGGTCAATGCCGCCCGGGCCTCTGTGAGCCGGTCCTGCGACGGCACAGGAGCTGAAGGCTCTCTGGGACCTCAAACTCTTAGGTTAAACTCTGAGGGTTTAGGGCTTAGGGCTTAGGGTTTAGGGTTTAGGGTTTAGGGTTTAGGGTTTAGGGTTTAGGGTTTAGGGTTTAGTCCCTTAATGTGGGCCCCAGGGGTCCTTGTCTACCCCTTAGGTACCCCTTATAGACACCTTACATATCCCTTATATACCTCCTATATACCCCTTATATACACCTTATATACCCTCTCATACCCTATGCAAGCCCGAAGGCGTAAATCCTAAACCCTAGTATCGCCTACTTGATGGCCTTTGACCTTGACACGGTCAAAGTCTAACTCTTAGGGAGAACTCTTAGGGTTGATAGGGTGTAGGGTTTAGGTATCTCCATCTCTATCTCTATCTCCCTGTGCCTCCACCTCTACCTCTATCTCCTCTCTATCTGCCAACCTCTCACAGTGTCCTCTCCATCCCTAAGCCCGTTTTATGCATGTGATCGCAGACCCGCATCACGCAGGGCATAGACCCCCCTTGCATACCCCCAAGTGCGAAAATCGACCCTAAACCCTAAACCCTAAACCTAAACCCTAAACCCTAAACCCTAAACCCTAAACCCTAAACCCTAAACCCTAAACCCTAAACCCTAAACCTCTCCTACCATATATATTTAAATGTTAAACCCCTTCGTGGATTTGGGCACAAACCTTCGTGGATTTGGGCACAAACCTTCGTGGATTTGGGCACAAGCCGGCCTCGAAGGGCCAGGGTTCAGGTTTTTCACTGGTTTTCGCCGGCGTCGGGGGGCCAGGGTTCAGGTTTTTCACAGGATTTGTGCCCAAATCCACGAAGGTTTGTGCCCAAATCCACGAAGGTTTGTGCCCAAATCCACGAAGGTTTGTGCCCAAATCCACGAAGGCCATGAACATTATAAAGGTTCGAGGCTTCGTGGATTTGGGCACAAACCTTCGTGGATTTGGGCACAAACCTTCGTGGATTTGGGCACAAACCTTCGTGGATTTGGGCACAAACCTTCGTGGATTTGGGCACAAACCTTCGTGGATTTGGGCACAAACCTTCGTGGATTTGGGCACAAGCCGGCCTTGAAGGGCCAGGGTTCAGGTTTTTCACTGGCGTCGGGGGGCCGGGGTTTCAGGTTTTTCACTGGCTTTTCAGGGTTTTCACTGGTTGTTCAGCTTTTCCACGGACGTGGGGGCTCCAGGGTTCAGGTTTTTCACTGTTTTTTTTTTTCACGGGCTCGAAGGGCCAGGGTTCAGGATTTTCACTGGCGTCTCGAAGGGCCAGGGTTCAGGTTTTTCACTGGTATTGAGTGCTGTTCGAGGGAGGGTTGGGGAAAATTCGAGTCCTCGCAGGACCAGGGTTCAGGTTTCCACGGGCGTCGGGGGCCCAGGGTTCAGGTTTTTCACTGTTTTTTGTTCACGGGCTCGAGGGGCCAGGGTTCAGGTTTTTCACTGGCGTCGGGGGTCCAGGGTTCAGGTTTTTCACGGGCCGGGGCCCCGGGGTTCAGGTTTTCACGGGCGTCGGAGGTCCAGGGTTCGTGTTTTTCATTGTTTTTTTCACGGGCTCGAGGGGCCAGGGTTCAGGTTTTTGACAGGCGTCGGGGGCCCAGGGTTCAGGTTTTTCACGGGTCGGGGCCCCAGGGTTCAGGTTTTTCACGGGCGTCGGGCCCCAGGGTTCGGGTTTTCACGGGCATCGGGGGCCCAGGGTTCAGGTTTTTCACTGTTTTTTTTTCACGGGCTCGAGGGGCCAGGGTTCAGGTTTTTCACTGGCGTCGGGGGTCCAGGGTTCAGGTTTTTCACGGGCCGGGGCCCCGGGGTTCAGGTTTTCACGGGCGTCGGGGGTCCAGGGTTCGTGTTTTTCACTGTTTTTTTTTCACGGGCTCGAGGGGCCAGGGTTCAGGGTTTTCACTGGCGTGGGGGCCCAGGGTTCAGGTTTTTCACGGGCCGGGGCCCCAGGGTTCAGGTTTTTCACGGGCGTCGGGCCCCAGGGTTCGGGTTTTCACGGGCATCGGGGGCCAGGGTTCAGGTTTTTCATTGTTTTTTTTTCACGGGCTCGAGGGGCCAGGGTTCAGGTTTTTCACTGGCGTCGGGGGTCCAGGGTTTAGGTTTTTCACGGGCCGGGGCCCCAAAGGTTTTCACGGGCGTCGGGGTCCAGATCCAGATCCCCCCCAGATCCCCCCCAATCCTCCCAGATCCCCCCCCCCCCAATTCCTTCCCAGACCCCCCCCAGATCCCCCCCACATCCCCCCCACCCCCCCCAGATCCCCCCCAGAATCCCCCCCAGATCCCCCAGATCCCCCCCAGATCCCCCCCAGCTCCCCCCCACATCCCCCCCCGATCCCCCCCAGATCCCCCCAGCTCCCCCCCAGATCCCCCCCAGATCTCCAGATCCTCCCAGATCCCTCCCAGATCCCCCCCAGATCCCCCCCAGATCCCCCCCGATCCCCCCCAGATCCTCCCCCTCCCCAATCCTTCCATATCCCCCCCAGATCCCCTCACTCCAGACCCCCCCCAGATCCCCCCCAGATCCCCCCCAGATCCCCCCAGATCCACCCAGATCCCCCACACGTCGGACCTGAGGGTGCAGGCTTTTCAATGGTTTTTGTTTTGTCACGGGCTGAGGGGGCAGGGTTCGGGTTTTTCACTGGGTCCGGGGGGGGGGGGGGGGTCCGGTTTTGGCTCCACCTTAAGGTTTAAATTTATATAGGTAGAGAGAGGTTGACGGAGGATCAGATTATTTTCCTAATGGTGTGGGACCCAATGGGCGGGTGCCCAGATCCCCCCCAGATCCCCCCCAGATCCCATCCCCCCCAGATCCCCCCCACATCCCCCAGATCCACCCCAGATCCCCCCCAGATCCCCGCCACATCCCCCCCAGATCCCCCCCCAGATTACCCCCAGATCCCCCCAGATCCCGCATATCCCCCCCAGACCCCCCCCAGATCCCCCCCAGATCCCCCCCAGATCCCCTCCAGATCCTCCCCAGATCCCCCCCAGATCCCCCAGATCATCCCCAAATCATCCCCAGATCCCCCCAGATCTCATTCCCAGATTTCCTCCCAGATCCCCCCAGATCCCCCCCAGATCCCCCCCCCCCCCAGATCCCCCCCCAATCGCCCCGATCCCCCCCCAGATCCCCCCCAGATCCCCCCCGATCCCCCCCAGATCCCCCCCAGATCCCCAGATACCCCCCAGATCCCCCCAGGGTTCGGTTTTTTCACTGGTCCGGGGGGGGGGGGGGGGGGGGTCCGGTTTTGGCTCCACCTTAGGTTTAAATTTATATAGGTAGAGAGAGGTTGACGGAGGATTAGATTATTTTCCTAATGGTGTGGGACCCAATGGGCGGGTGGGTATTCCCCTGTGGCCTTGAAAGCTGCTCAACTGGTGAATGCTTGGACCAGAGATGCTAAACCCTAAACCCTAAACCCTAAACCCTAAACCCTAAACCCTAAACCCTAAACCCTAACCCCCCCCCCCCCCCCCCCCCAAAAAAAAAAAGAGGAAAAGCATCGGGCGCCTGCTGCACTAGCCACCGCGGGGAGCGAGGCAGGAAGGGCATGGTGAGCAGAATGACGAAGGCTGGGATGGCCTGCGGTTTACGGGGGCCTAATGGGGGGTTTAGGGTTTAGGGTTTAGGGTTTAGGGTTTAGGGTTTAGGGTTTAGGGTTTAGGGTTTAGGGTTTAGGGTTTAGGGTTTAGGGTTTAGGGTTTAGGGTTTAGGGTTTAGGATTTAAGATTTAGGGTTTAGGGTTTAGGGTTTAGGGTTTAGGGTTTAGGGTTTAGGATTTAAGATTTAGGGTTTAGGGTTTAGGGTTTAGGGTTTAGGGTTTAGGGTTAGGGTTTCGGGTTTTAAGGTTTAGGGTTTCGGGTTTAGGGTTGCGGGATGAGCCATGGGATATCAGCCCTTTGCACGGCGAATCCTTACGCAACGCGGAACCTACCTCATGCCTACTTTGCGGACAAGTATTTCGACTAGACCCAAGAGTAACCCGGGAACCAAAAGCATGCCTTTTTCGGGTTACTAAGGGAACCTAAACCTTTTCGGGTTACTAAGGGAACCTAAACCTTTTCGGGTTACTAAGGGAACCTAAACCCGAGAAAGTGCATAAGGACCTACTCTGGGTCCTAGACTTTGAAGAACTACCTGTTTCAGGGGCGGAACAATGGAAGGCTTGCTATCTACACCCCCTTCGAACCCTGCTAGGAAACTTGAGCTGCACACGTTCTCTAACCCCTAAACCCTAAACCCTAAACCCTAAACCCTAAACCCTAAACCCTAAACCCTAAACCCTAAACCCTAAACCCTAAACCCTAAACCCTAAACCCTAAACCCTAAACCCTAAACCCTAAACCCTGAACCCTAACCCGAAGTCTGCGTCTCAGGATGAATGATTTGTCGGTCGCAGGAACAGCTGAGAGTGATATGATATCAATCACCAGGTTGGCCCCTTTAAACCCTTTGAAACATCTTCCTAAGTATCATCCTCTTAAGCCCAGTAGGGGAATACGCAGTATCCCAAGGGCCTGCCTAGATAACAACATAGGTTGAGGTTGTGCTGGGAGACGGTCTGGGTGCGGATGACCCAAATGGGAGATTCGCCAGTGTATAACTCCGAGAACATATGAAGGAGGGTTATTGATGGCTAGTATCCCCCAAAGGACAGGCAAACAGACATACACACACTCTCCCTATCTCACCAACATGTACAAGGATCCCCATATACACACTAGTGTCGGCAATCAAATGAACCCTGCCCTTGTATTGAGAGCCATCTGAACGTCTACACCTTGCAAACCACGTCCAGATCAACATACAGGAGATGAGGCCTTCGGGCTTAGAGTTTGGGGTGTATGGTTTAGGTTGCCGTCGAGCTGGCTTGCTTTTGACACGTTAAGGGTCGATGCAGCGACAGCTGGCAATGTTCCCCACTTCAGTCCATGAAGACCCTAAAACCTAAACGCTTAACCCTGAGCTTCACGGAACCCGAACCTTTGAACCAGAAGCCCTGAACCCTAAACCCTAAACCCGCTCACATCCCAGATTGGGCCCCCAAAAACGCCAAACCTGCAAGGCAATGGCCATCCGCCAGCCGTTTTCCTTCTCCACCAGGAACTCATCCAGCAAGGCCGCGATAAAGATGCCTCCGGAACGCCCCCCAAGGGGCGAGGCAAGAGTGACCAGCAGGAAAGATAGGGTTTAGGGTTTAGGGTTTAGGGTTTAGGGTTTAGGGTTTAGGGTTTAGGGTTTAGGGTTTAGGGTTTAGGGTTTAGGGTTTAGGGTTTAGGGTTTAGGGCTTAGGGTTTAGGGTTTAGGGTTTAGGGTTTAGGGTTTTATCCCGGATTTCCATCCTTGGAGCTCCCTGAAGCCGAAGCGAGGCAGGGGCCTGCCGTGATCATCATGTTGTACATGGAGGTCAGGGTTCCGCGCAGAGCTGGCGGCGCCATCTCGGCCTCCGCATGGGGGGTTTAGGGTTTAGGGTTTAGGGTTTAGGGTTTAGGGTTTAGGGTTTCGGGTTTCGGGTTTAGGGATAGGTTTAACGGTTTAAGGCAACGAATGAAGAGCGAGGCAAGACTCGGCCCAAGACCTACAAGGCACGTCGAGCTCAAGAGCGGCCACTCCTCCTGAGAAGACCCTGGCTAGACCCAGGAGTGTCCCAGGAATAAGACGGGTACCCTTTTTGGCTTTAAGGGGATCAGAAGGGAACCCCAACCCTAAGAAAAGGAAATGAGGGCCGACTCCCAGTCCTAGCTGGGGCAGTCTGGCATGCAAGTTTCTTAGGGTAGTGACATGGTCCCTCAAAATGGGGACCCCTAGACCCCCTATATACTTACTAGATACCCTCTAAGACCCAAGGGCCCAGACTTCAGAAACCTTTAAGGAAGGTAAGGGACCATATGAAGGGACCGTATCAACTGCCCTTAGCCCCTCCCCTAACAACCCTAAATACTAAACCCTAAACCCTAAACCCTAATCCCTAAATCCTAAATCCTAAACCCTAAACCCTAAACCCTAAACCCTAGACCCTAAACCCTAAGCCCTACCCTTAGAAGGCTTGCAAGAACGGTAACGTAGCCTGGTACATGGGCACCACGTTGCTCAGTAGGCCGATGGAGGTCCCCGTGACCAGCCGCCCGAAGAGGAAGATCTTACAGCAGTTTAGGGTTTAGGGTTAAGGGCTTAGGGCTTGGGGTTTAAGGTTTAGGGTTTAGGGTTTAGGGTTAAGGGTTTAGCGTTTATGGCGAAGTTTTCAGTAGCTTCAACACTGCTGCACTCGTAGCTGCCGACCTCGCTCTAAGATCCGCTGACCCCTAAACCCTAAACACCAACCCTGTTCCACTGAGCTGACCCTGCGCCAAGAGGCCCCCATAGACTTGCTGCTTGACTGCAGCAGGCATCCCAGCAAGAAGATGACCTGAGAGACGGCAAGTTGCAACATGACAATAATGTTGAAAACAACGACTGTGTTTCTATAATATCGTTAAGCTTATTTTTCACTACACTGCCCGAAACACACTGACATTCTGATTATTCTGCATTAGCATCTTTCTGTACACCCTAATCCCTAAACCCTAAGCCCTAAACCCTAAACCCTAAACCCTAAACCCTAACCCTAAACAAGCAAACCCTGTAACAAAAAAACAAAAAGCCAGGGGGCCCCTCCCAGGATGATCGAGCTCCTCCTGCCAAACTGGTCAAGGAAGAAGCCTCGGTCTGGGACCCGCTCTCTAAGTGTTTAGGGTGTGGTAGGGTTTAGGGTTTAGGGTTTAGGGTTTAGGGTTTGGGGTTTGGGGTTTAGGGTTTGGGGTTTAGGGTTTAGGGGTTAGGGCTTAGGGCTTAGGGCTTAGGGCTTAGGGTGTAGGGTTTAGGGTTTAGGGTTTAGGGTTTAGGGTTTAGGGTTTAGGGTTTAGGGTTTTTAGGGGTTTAGGGGTTTAGGGGTTTAGGGTTTAGGGGTTTAGGGGTTTAGGGGTTTAGGGGTTAGGGGTTTAGGGGGTTAGGGTTAGGGGTTAGGGGTTTAGGGGTTTAGGGTTTAGGGGTTAGGGGTTTAGGGGTTAGGGTTTAGGGGTTTTTGGGGGTTTAGGGGGGGGGTTTAGGGGTTTAGGGTTTAGGGTTTTGCTTAGGGTTTAGGGTTTAGGGTCTAGGGTTTAGGTTTGGGGGTGTAGGGTCTGCATGTCCTGTTGCAGTCTCAGGCGCTGCTGATCGGTGGAAACGATGTCGCGAGGCATCCGACAGAAAAGATCTCAGGCTGCAGGGTTTAGGGGTTTAGGGTTTAGGGGTTGGGATTTATGGTTTAGGGTTAAGGGTTTTAGGGTTTCAGGGTGTTGCCCGGAATCCCATGGAGATCACTAAGCTGATCGTCCTTCGCCAAATGGGCAGTTCTCTCTCTAAATTAGGATCCCTTTCATTTCGTGAAAGATTCTAACAGGTACCCTATAATTTGGAGAACTGCCCGAATGTCTGAGACCAGGGCAGAAACGATGAAGCCTGCTTGCACTACTGCAAGCCCTAAACCCTAAACCCTAAACCCTAAACCCTAAACCCTAAACCCTCAACCCTGAACCCTAAACCCTAAACCCTAAACCCTAAACCCTAAACCCTAAACCCTAAACCCTAAACCCTAAACCCTACACCTAAACCCTAAACCCCAAACCCGAATGCATTACGGACGGTGTCTGAGACCAGGGCAGAAACGATGAAGCCGGCTTGCACTGCGCTGATCTTCGAGTCGGGGTTCGACCAATCAGACAAGTGGCCCACATCCTCCATGCAGTGGAGGGTTTATGGTTGGGGGGGCTAAGTTTAGGGCTTAGGGGCTGGGGCTTCGGGCTTCGGGCTTACGGCCTAGGGCCTGGGGCCTAGGGCCTAGGGCTTAGGGCTTGGGGCTTAGGGTTAAGGGTTAAGGGTTAAGGGTTTAGGTTGGGGTTCAGGTGTTTCGGGATTTAGGGTGCAAGGTTCCATGATCTGCAGATGCAAGGAGTCCAGGAGGAAGCACCCAAAACCCTAAGTCGCTCAGAGGAAGGGTTTATGAAGGGTTTAATTAGGGTTTAGGGTTTAGGGTTTGGGGTTTGGGGTTTTACGGTTTAGTGTTTACGGGTTAGGGTGGAAGCCTGGCTGGGGCCCTGGCCCTTTTGAAGCTGCCACATTCCAGAATCGGAGCCTCGAAACAGGGCACGAGACTTCCGAGCTTGTTCGGCGTGATTTGGCTTTCTCAACCGGCGACTGGGCTCCCCACAATGTAGCCTTGGCTGCTCCGCTCTTTTCACGCAGCATGCACTTTAGGGTTTCGGGGTTTTCTCGGCTTGAGGCCCAATCACCCTTGCATGGAGGGTTTATGGTTTGGGGCTTCGCACCCCCATCTATCTTGCCCTAGTACAGGCAGGGCACCGATGTCGAGGCCGAATAGAAATGCCCCAAGGGAGGCGACGAGAGCTGCCGTGGTGGCCTAGCGCCAGCTCTGGAATTTCAGGGAGACGCGCGAGCTTTCAGGGCTTGGGGATATTAGGGGCCTAAACCCTATACGCTAAACCCTAACCCTAAACCCTAAACCGCCGATCTTTCACCAAGGAGTATAGGGCTTTGGGGAGGGCTTTTAAGGCATGGGGCCCCCGAAACTCCAAGCAAAGACCCGACTGATAGCTGGGAACACCGTCCATGCTGCCTACGAACATCACCTGCGCAAGCAATCAGGCTAGCTCCTCAACCCTCAACCCTAAACCCTCAACCCTCAACTCTAAGCCCTAAACCTTAAACCCTAAACCCCAAACCCCAAACCCCAAACCCCAAACCCTAAACCCTAAACCCTCCCTAAACCCAAACCCAACTTCTTTCTCCCGGCCGAGACCCTCATGAGCATCAGCTTGAACAGGATTCTCCACTGATCCCTCCCGCGATGTACGCCGACTATGGCCCCAAAACAACCCCCCAAAAGGGGACCCGGGTGAGGGGCGGGGGGGGGGGGGGTTCAGGAGGGAGCAAACTTGGCCCCTGCCAGGCCCAAACAATCCTAAACCCTGCACCCTAAACTGCTGCTCCTTCCACCCCCATCATACTGATCAGCTAAAACCTAGCACACATCACCGATCACAATCCATGTGGCACGCAACAGTTGGTCCCCCGCGGGTGAAGACGCAAAGAAAGAGAGAGAGAGAGAGAGAGAGAGAGAGATGGACAAATATAAAACATCAAGCCTAAACCCTAGACCCTAAACACTGTCAACCACGATGGCCTTGCCGTCGCCCATATCTTCTCAGCGCCAGCAGGGTCTCCGGCGGCCAAGGGCCATGAATGTGAGTCTTGCTCGAGTTATTCAAGTCGGTCGGATCAAACGGATGAGGACGCCGCTTGAGATGCTTGAGTGATCTGGGTTGCATGCTAGACCCTAAACCCTAAACCCTAAACCCTAAACCCTAAACAGAGATGCTGGTCCAGGGCGAGTGGTGGCCGCCGAAGGCGCCCCCCAAAAGCAAAGTACGCTACCGGATGGAAGGGCTCTGGGCCAGAGCTCTACGGCCCCTGAGCCTGCGTTGCCAACGGCAAGGGGTTTAGGGTTTAGGGTTTAGGGTTTAGGGTTTAGGGTTTAGGGTTTAGGGTTTAGGGTTTAGGGTTTAGGGTTTAGGGTTTAGGGTTTAGGGCTCCTTTAGTCGTTTAACGTCAAAAGGTCAACTCGTTGACGGAATGCACATGCCACCTTTGACAGCTCAAAAAGGAATCCCTGATTCTGCACAACTCAACCTCATCATGCTGATGTGGTTCAAAAGCAGTGCCAAGGATGGAAAGGATGCGGCCGTAAAGGTATGAAAAACCCTAAGCCCTAAACCCTAAACCCTAAAACCCTAAAACCCAAAAACCCCAAAACCCTAAAACCCTAAAACCCTAAAACCCTAAAACCCTAAAACAGTTGGCAGACCCTGGATGCAGGGGTTCAGTGAAGGTGGCGGCCTGCGTGCCACGGAGAGAGCTCACGCGCTAGGCGCCGGAAAAGGCCTGCAGCACATACCGCTTAGGGTTTAGGGTTTAGGGTTTAGGGTTTAGGGTTTAGGGTTTAGGGTTTAGGGGTAGCTGTCTACATTGAGGTCCCCTCCCAGAGGCATGGCATCTTACTAGAAGTGACCCCAGAAAAGACCCTAGTTTAGAGTCGAAAAGCTTAGAGAACTAACCACATGGAGGTCGCTCAAAACAGTCCAGTATCAGTCGTCCGCGAGGAGCCAGAAATACAACACAACCCAGAACCCTAAACCCTAAACCCTCAACCCTATACTCCAGGTTGCCAACAGCAGCTACACGTGTGGGGAAGCGGCCTTTTGAGGGCAAAATACGGTGCAGAGTCATGTTGACTTACCGGGCGCTTAGGTAGGAATTGGGGTCTTACAGTACCCGTTAATAAAAACCCCAGACCAAAACCCGAAACCCGACCATAAACCCTAAACCCTAGAGGGAGGGAGGGAGGGAGAGAGAGAGAGAGGGAGAGACAGAGGGAGAGAGGGAGAGAGAGAGAGAGAGCGAGAGCGAGAGCGAGAGCGAGAGCGAGAGCGAGAGCGAGAGAAGCGAACGGAGAGAGAACACTAAACCCGCCAGCGAACTTGCACCCTAAACCCTAAACCCTAAATACGGACCTCCTCGAGCTCTGTCCGAAAGGCCCTGCGCAGTTCGTCGGAGGCCTTTTGGATCTTGGGGTTCTACCTTGGTCCCCTTAAGGGTTTAGGGTTTCGGGTTTAGGGATTAGGGTTTAGAGTTTAGGGTTTAGGGTTTAGGGTTTGGGTTTAGGGTTAGGTATTGGGTTTGGGGACCCTCTTTCAACATCCTGTAAGGGAATATAAGGGCCTTCTTGGGAGAATACCTGGCAAATCCGAGTATGACTCCCTTGGCTGGAAATCTTGGAGCCCCACCGAGGGTCCTAAACCTCACAGGCCCCGTGGGGAACTCGGAGCAGTCAAACACTGTGCAAGTCGCGTAGGGGGACGCGCAAAAAGAATATGGGTGCTTTTTTGGGCACCCTATATATGTATATATATATATATATGTATGTATAAGGCTCCATATTGCCGTGCAATCCCTCAAATAGGGGGCCAGAACCTAGAGAGCCTCCATATGGAGAGGTGCAGAATCTGGTGCAGAACACGGCCTCGGGGAGCCGCGATGATGGCAAAGCGCAGTCCTGCCGGTCCCGTTGACGCGCGCTCCTAGACCCCCTCAAACAAACCCAAAGCCACAAAAATCTAAACCCTAAACCCTAAATGACCCTAAACCCTAAACCCTAAACCCTAAACCCTAAACCCTAAATGCCCCTAAGTCCCAACCCTGTACCGACTTGAGCTGTGGGGAGGGCTTTTGGGTCCAAAGGTCAGCCAGGAGACTTGGAACTTTGCAGCTCGACTTGGGAGGCAATCGTTGCACAACATCAAAACATCGGATCTCGCATGCCTACCGACCCGAGACCCCCAAAAAACCCTCCCAAAAGTGTGATGTAGGGGTCGGAATAATTACTATCAGTATTCCCTTATAGTAACCCCCCAAAACCCTATTCTAGTTCTGAAGGCCATAGTGGCCTGATTCCTGCTTCCTTTCCGACCTGTTCTGGACAATTTTCTCGGAAAGGCGTGCCGGGGGACACAGCAGCGGAATCAGAAGCCCCTGCACAACTTGGCTCGGCTCTTCACCTGGATTCGGGACCTTGCTTGGGAGGTTTACGGGTACTTGGAAGTGGGGATATAAGTCCGGTAGCTATGGTTATATCCATATTCAGGATCCATATAGCCCTACTTCAGTGTATACTGCCACGGAAATCCAGCATAAGACCCTGGCGTGCTATAGACCGATGATTAAGCCCCTAAACCCGAAACCCTAAACCCTCAACCCTCAACCCTAAACCCCGTTCTTCTGACAAACAGGCCTCGCTATAGATCCACTGCAGATCCTCGTGGCGCTCCTTTTCTGCCTGGGGTACCGGAGCTCACAGCTGAGGTAGCCCGCTGCATGAATAGGGTCTCGGGTTTAGGGTTTAGGGTTTCGGGCTTCGGGTTTAGGGTTAGGGATTAGGGTTTAGGGTTTTCACAAGGGTTTGGGGTTTAGGGTGTAGGGCTGAGAATTCGGGTTTAGGGCTTTCACAAGGGTTTAGGGTTTGGGGTTTAGGGTTCAGGGCCAGAACTCCATAGAGGCAGCAGCAACTTGAGGAGACAAAGCCAGAGGCATCTGGCCTAACCTTCCCACATGCCTAGGGTTTGGGTTTAGGGTTTGGGGTTAGGGCTTTGGGTTTAAGGTTTAGGGTTTAGGGTTTCGGGTTTAGGGTTTGGGGTTTAGGGTTTAAGGTTTTCACAAGGGTTTAGGGTTTAGGGTGTAGGGCCAGAAACTGGGATTGGGCAACTCTACACCTCAACCGTGTAGCTGCGACACCAGACGCAATCATACTCCTGGACGGGATGCTCTCTACGAAGGTCCCTTTTGGGCCCAAGCTCGCCCTGAGAGCAGACCTTAACCCTGAATCCTAAACCCCACTTGGGTGGCTGTCAAAATTATGATCCCTTTCGGGGTACCCTAAATCTTAGGTGCCGCATTTTCATAGGGATCCAAAAAGGGACCACAATGTTGACAACCACCCACTTGGAGGTAAACCCTAAACCCTAAACCCTAAACCCTCAACCCTCAACCCTCAACCCTAAACCCTAAACCCTAAACCCTAAACCCGGGTCTCCGGCCGCGCGCCGCCGCAGCGTTGTCAAGTGCACGGCGGCCTGTCTCGCCGACTCGTGGACTTGGGCCTGTCCGAGGACTTCGGCTTAAGGCTTAGGGTTTCTTTGAATCTTAAATTTTTGAAGCCCTAAACCTTAGATTCTGAACCCAAACACCCTAAACCCTAAACTCTAAACCCTAAACCCTAAACCCTAAACCCCATTGATGCCCCAAACTATGAGCCTCTGGGTGTATCCCCTCTGGCCTTGTGCGACCGCACCGATCGAAGGTTTTCCTGGCAAGCCCCAGGTCTGTTGAGCTCAAGTCCCCCATACTCCCCTTTGGGGTTTAGGGTTTAGGGTTTAGGGTGTAGGGTTTAGGGTTTAGGGTTTAGGGTTTAGGGTTTAGGGTTTAGGGTTTAGGGGTTCGCGTTCAGGGTTGAGGGTTTAGGCAAAATGCAGAAAACTACACGCCTAGGTTATCCCTTGCTTCAGGTTCACATCTTGGGGATTGGTTTGAAGCCCCGCGCTTTTCTGTCAAACTGGTGTCATAATACGATGCCGGCAGGAAGCCGCATTTGATTCAAGAAGCTGTACTTGTTCCCGAGCACATATGGGTTACTCTCTAAATCATGGCCCTTTTTGGTACCCTCTTGCTCCGTATTGTCATATCCCAACAAGGGACCAGAATTCAAGAAGCTCCTGTCCTATATGATGGTGTATCAGGATTGCATTTCCAGGCACATGCTTTATTCAAAGGGACCATGGGCAACCCTCGTCCCCCTTATCTTTCCCATTGTAAGAAGGGACTGTGCGGGAAGAGTCCCCGCAGGCCCTGTCAAAAGGCACGCAAGGGGGGCATATACTTCAAGCTTCACGCGTACATATAATCAGGGTTACAAGTGCCCTAAACAAGGGTATAGCAGAGTTGCCGTACTTATGCCCCCACTCAGAAGTATCCATGAATCTCCAAGTAGACCCTAAACCCTAAACCCTAGACCCTAGACCCTAGACCCTAAACCCTAAACCCTAAACCCTAAACCCTAAACCCTAAACCCTAAACCCTAAACCCTAAACCCTAAACCCTAAACCCTAAACCCTAAACCCTAAACCCTAAACCCTAACCCCTTGCTTGGGTGCGCTTTCGGCGGAGATGTTCGCATGTTCGCATCAGCTGCCTCGACCTCTGCGGTGTGGTGGCGCTCGGCTGCCAAGTCGGCCTGGTGAAGCTAAGCGGGCCCTAAGCCCTGAACCCTAAACCCTGAACCCTAAACCCTAAACCCTAAACCCTAAACCCTAAACCCTAGCCCAACATCTGCGAAGCTGATGTTATGGGAGCGGGAGGCCTGCAGTCGGTCCAGTTCCTTCACCAGGTTCGCATGGTGCTCTGACAGCTGCAAAGCCTGGCGCCAGGAAGCACCAATTTGAGAACAAACGGGTTTAGGGTTTAGGGTATAGGGTTTCGGGTTTAGGGTTTAGGGTTCAGGGTTTAGGGTTTAGGGTTAGGTTTCAGAGTTTCGGGCGTCAGCCATGCAAGAACGACCATTAAAGCCCTCTGAACAAGATATTCCTAAGTATCCTCCTCTTACATCCAATAAGGAAAGACTTGAAACTTCCCAAGGCCCGACCTAGCCAAGTAGACCGGCTGCCACCGAATGGAAGAATCTTACCATAAACCCTAAGCCAGCCCTAAACCCTAAACCCTAAGCCCTAAGCCCTAGGCCCTAAGCCCTAAGCCCTAAGACCTAAGCCCTAAGCCCTAAGCCCTAAACCCTAAACCCTGATAGGTCTCTTGCTTGCATTCTCAGCCGCCTCTTGCACGTCAGCATCGTACGCCTCCTCACACGCAGCACTTTACTGGTGGAAGATCCGCCCTCAGCCCCAAGCCCTAAGCCCTAAGCCCTCAGCCCTCAGCCCTCAGCCCTCAGCCCTCAGCCCTAAGCCCCAAGCCCTGAGCCCTGAGCCCTAAGCCCTGAGCCCTGAGCCCTAAGCCCTAAGCCCTAAGCCCTAAGCCCTAAGCCCTAAGCCCTAAGCCCTAAGCCCTAACCTTAGCCCTAAACCCTAAACCACCGAATCAAGAATCCCAGCAGTGTTTCTTAAGACCCTTGTTCTGCTTGCAGACTCTACTGAGACCACACCTGGAGTCGTGAAAAGAACGGAATCCTAAACCACTCAGCTACAGGTGCAGTTCTCCAGATTAGGGCCCCTTGGGGGGTCCTTCTTTCAAGGGTGCCGTACTCTGTACGATACAGGGGACCCGCACAAAAAAACACTCATTTAGAAAACTGCTCTCTCTCTCTCTCTCTCTCTCTCTCTCGCTCTCTAATGCATTATATAATTATCTATATATATATACAAATATGAACGCTGAGCCCTGATCCCTGAATCCCTCGCTACCCTGCATACAAGACCAAGCCGTAAAGTCCTGAAGCTCAATGCTCCGCTGCCGCCCTTCAGCAACAGCCAACCGGCTCTGTACCTGGAGGAATTAAGGTCTAGGGTTTAGGGTGTAGGGTGGTAGGGTGTAGGGTGTAGGGTGTAGGGTGTAGGGTGTAGGGTTTAGGGTTTAGGGTTTAGGGTTTAGGGTTTAGGGTTTAGGGTTTAGGGTTTAGGGTTTAGGGTTTAGGGTTTAGGGTTTAGGGTTTATTTTAGGGTTTAGGGTTTAGGGTGTAGGGTGTAGGGTGAAGGGTTCAGGGTGTAGGGTTTAGGGTGTAGGGTGTAGGGTGTAGGATTTGGGTGGTTGTTGCGGGTGTGGGCGTGGGGGTTGCATGCGCGGAGCGAAAAGCTTGTCTTGGGCTAGTTACATGGGAGTATGGAGTTGAGGATTTAGGGTTTAGGGTTTAGCGTTTAGGGGTAGTATGGGCCCTTAGTATGGGCCCTTACAAGGGTACCCCTCATGTACCCCTTGTGTATACCCTATACGAATTGGTTCGGGGCCATAGTAGGGGCCCATGAAACTACTCGGACCACGGGTGATGGGTTGTCGTGGTGTTTTGTTGTGCGAAAACGTACGTTTTACCTGGGCTTTTGGATGATTCCTCAAAAATCAGTCTTCAGGATGTACAAAAAATCACATCATGTTCTACTAAATTCTTACTGTTACGTTGTCTTTTGGTTTCTGAGATTGAGTGTGTTAGCCCGGAGTGTAAACCCTTAAAGGTCAAGTCTGCAGCCTGCAGAGAAACAAAAACACTGTAAATACCAGTGTTTTGGGCATGGTCGGCAAAGGCAAGGACGCTTGTGAATGCTTTTCTTGTTCCACATCCTTGTGCAGCATGTTGTAGAAAGTGGCGAAAAATGCGGTAAATACCGAGTGTTTTGGGCATGGTCGCAAGAGGCATGGACGCTTGTGACAACGTGTCTTGTTCCACAACCTTGCGCAGTGTGTTGTACAAACTGGCGAAAACGCTGTTGCAATATGAATGATGTTCTTTTCCCCCCCGCCCCCCCCCCACCCCCCGCCCCACCCCACCCCCAACACCCCCCAACGCCCCCACTCTGAGGCCATAAACCTTGGCAAAAGCCCTGAAATGCCGGAAACCTCACGGCAACCCAACACCCGTGGTCCAACTACCCTCAGAGCTTGATCCTAAACGAACCCTACTTGGAGGTTCATGGTACTTATTAACCCATTATTGCTGTACTTATTGCTGTACTTTCAGCCATATTAGGGCACTTGAGGGGCTTATATGTGGGTTCTAAGTACAGTTATAACTGGTGAAAAAGTACCATGAACCTCCAAATAGACATCCCCCGGGGTCCTTCTTCTCTGCCACCTGGGCCAATCCCGCCTGCACCGAGTGCTTTCAGTGACACGAAGCTACACCTCTTGACAGGGCCTTTGCGGCTCAAACTCTGGTGCATGTACCCTAAACCCGAAACCCTGAACCCTAAACCCTAAGCCCTATAAGCCCTACACCCTATAGGCCCTATACACCCCCAAGCAGCTGCCAGATGGGCTACACGTGGAGCCTGCAGTGCTTCGGCCTCCGCACGGCTGCGGTGGAGCCTGAAGCTTAGGGTTTAGGGTTTCTGGGTTTAGGGTTTAGGGTTTCGGGTTGAGGGTTTAGGGCTTAGGCTTTAGGGTGTGTATCCAAGAGGCCTTCGGCTGGGCACCCGAGATATGTGGGTGGCTTTTTGCGGGATTTCATCAGGGACCATAGTCTAGAGAATTGACCACCATGTGCATGCTGGCTTGGATGGGATTTTCCAAAAATGGAGATGCCCCAAAGTCCTATAGCCCTCATTACAGGAATCGCCCAAAAAGGTAGATCTATTGTCGGATAAACCAGAGGCGGTCTTTCATGGAATGTCTTAAGCGATCAGCGCAGCATTCGACAGTACAAAACCCAGACCCAATGCAACATCAAGACAAGTCTTGATTTCCACAAATTTTGGCGGATGCTCATACAATAAGTAATCATTCCGAACAAGAAATCCTAAGACGCCTCGGGCCGTAGGTGTTTGGGGAGCATAAAGCAGGACGGGACCTTGTTTGGCACTTTTTTGCCTGAAATGGGTACCGCCCCAACCCCGCCCCAACCCGGTCCGCTGGAGATTGGCCCCATGTTTGCGAGGATAGCTGCCAAACACAAACCCGAATTGAGCCACTGCCGGAGGTTGCCCCCCTCCCTCCCCCCCAATTCAAACCTGCTAAGCCTTCTGGTTCTGGCAGAACAAGTTCTGGACATTGAAACGAAAGGCTCCCGGGGAGAGCTTTCGTGATGACTAGAACAAAACCCCTAACCCTAAACCCTAAACCCCAAGCCCTAAACCCTAAACCCTAAACCCTAAACCCTACACCCTAAACCCTAAACCCTAAACCCTGAGTCTGGGACTACTGGTGCAAACAGAATGGCGGGGGAGAAGCTTGGCTGACGGTCTTTCTCCCTCTGCCAATGCTGAGGAAAGGTGCTGAGTCACAACTCAGCCAAGACTGCGGTGAGGGTTTGCAGGGAAACGGCAGGGACTGCAGGGCACTTTTTTTGTTTTTTTAGTCATTTCATACAGATGCCCGTCCTGCACCACCGTCTCTAAATGCACCAGCCATCAGGAGCCCTACACCCTACACCCTAGACCCTAAACCCTAAACCCTAAACTGCAGCCCCTACATCCTCTGTCCATTGCCCCTTCAGCCCTCAGCATGCTTTAAAGATTGTCGTGGAACACGGGAGCCCGCAAGCTCGTCCGGCAGCCTTACAAAGCGGGCTCAAAGTTGAAATCTGTCCAAGCAAGCACAAAATTTTAGGGTTTAGGGTTTAGGGTTTAGGGTTTAGGGTGTAGGGTGTAGGGTTCAGGGCTCTTGAATCAACAAGCTGCTGGCTGGGCCAAGAACCCAGCTGCAGTCGGTCCCCCTGTCTCTTGGCGCAACACCCCGCGCGTACACGCAGTTTAGGGTTTAGGGTTCAGGGTTTAGGGTTTAGGGTTTAGGGTTTGGGGTTTGGGGTTTGGGGTTTGGGGTTTGGGGTTTCGGGTTTGGGGTTTAGGGTTTCTGGGTTCTGGATTTGGGGTTCGGGGTTCGGGGTTCGGGGTTTAGGGCTTCTTGGCTGCTCCTCTCAGGCACATGGAGATGCGCAAGGCCAACTCACATTTTGGAGCTCGCGGTCGACCACTTGGCATTCCATGCAGCGGCCGTTCCTTTCACAAACGTGTTTTGGGTCAAAGGGTCGTTTAGGGTTTAGGGTTTAGGGTTTAGGGTTTAGGGCTTAGGGCTTAGGGCTTAGGGCTTAGGGCTTAGGGCTTAGGGCTTAGGGCTTAGGGCTTAGGGCTTAGGGTTTAGGTACGTTTTCTGGTCTCATTATGCAAGCATGTTGACGAGAAATAGGCCTCAGCCCTAAGCCCGAAGCCCCAAACCCGAAACGAAACCCTAAGTCAAGGGGTGCCGGGTTCTCTCGAAAACAAGCGGGAGATCTCTCCGTAGCCCTAAACCCTAAACCCTAAACCCTAAACCCTAAACCCTAAACCCTAAACCCTAAACCCTAAACCCTAAACCCTAAACCCTAAACCCTAAACCCTAAACCTAAACCGTAAACGCAGAATTTGCAACCTGGAGGCGCGCGGTGAACTCCTTTGAGCTTAGTCTCCAGTTGTTCTTCACGCACTCCTCCGGGTTTGGGGTTCAGGGTTCAGGGTTTAGGGTTTAGGGTTTAGGGTTTAGGGTTTAGGGTTTAGGGTTTAGGGTTCAGGGTTCAGGGTTTAGGGGTTTAGGGTTTCGGGTTTAGGGTTTAGGGCTCAGGGTTTAGGGTTTGGGAGTTGAGGAGATTAAGTTTGGGAATTTGGGAGTTTAGGAGTTTGGGAGTTTAGGGTTCAGGGTTTCGGGTTTCGGGTTTGGGGCGGAGGAGTTTAGGGGTCTGGGATTTAGCGTTTTTTCGAGTCTAGAGCTGAGGGTCAAGGCATGTGAGTACGCAGCTGAACAAGACTCTGCTGCAAATCTCCTGCAGGAGCGCTGAGGGCGTCTGCCCCATTGCTTCAATCTGGCGTCAGGAAACCCTAAACCCTAAACCCTAAACCCTAAATCCTAAACCCTAAACCCTAAACCCTAAACCCTAAACCCTAAACCCTAAACCCTAAACCCTAAACCCTAAACCCTAAACCCTAAACCCTAAACCCTAGACCCTAAAGCTCTCTTCTTGGGGGTTTGGGGCTTCGGGCTGAGGATGCCTCTGTATCCTGATAGGACCTCCTAGAAGGGACCCTGAATTTCGAAAGTAGCCACAAACCCTAAACACGAACCCCTCAAGAGGATCTAGGAAGTAGAACCACCTAAACCGATAACCGCGTACCCTCCACAGCCAAAACCCCAAAAACCCAAAACCCTAAACCCTGAACCCTACCCCGCCCCCCCTCGCCCCCCCCCCAAGAGAAATGAGTTCTTCGGAGCGTTTATAAGGGAGGTCAGCTTTTCCTCCAAAGTCTCTGGAGTTGGGAAGTTTTGGGTTTAGGGCTTCAAGAGCAGTCCTTCACAAAAGGGCTTAGGGTTTAGGGTTTAGGATTTAGGATTTAGGGTTTAGGGTTTAAGGTTTGGGGTTTGGGGTTTAGGGTTTAGGGTTTAGGGTTTAGGGTTTAGGGTTTAGGGTTTAGGGTTTAGGGTTTAGGTACCTGTTCCCTGACCCTGCGCTTCCTAAACCCGAAACCCTGAACCCAAAACCCTAAAGCCTGAATCCTACACCCTACACCCTAAACCCTAAACCCTAAACCCTAAACCCTAAAACCCTAAACCCTAAACCCTAAACCCCAAACCCCAAACCCTGAACCTCAAACCCTAAACCCGAAGTCAAGTCCCCCAAAAACTTCCCAGGTAGCCTTGGAGAGAACCTTGGGCAAACCCACAGCAGACCTTGGCAGCACCACTGGAAGAACTGGGGGGTTAAGGATTTAGGATTTAGGGTTTAGGGTTTAGGGTTAGGGAACCTGCTTTTACAGGGCCCCGCGTAGGTTCCTAAGAAGCAGAAAGTTGACAATGTAGGGAAAGCTCTACATGTGAGCACCTTCTGCGTTTAAACTTTAAACCCTAAACCCTAAACCCCAAACCCCAAACCCTAAACCCCAAACCCTAAACCCTAAACCCCAAAAGCCCAAACCCCAAACCCTAAACCCTGCACACGCTCTTAGGCAGGTCCGGCTTGGCCCCGATGGTAAGCTCGGCACGCCCACTGCATTGGCCCACCGCGATATCTTGGCCAGTTGTAGCCTTAGCTGGGTTTAGGGTTTAGGGTTTGTGGTTTGGGGTTTAGGGTTTGGGGTTTGGGGGGTTGGGGGGTTGGGGGGTTGGGGGGTTGGGGGGTTGGGGGGTTGGGGGGTTGGGGTTTGGGTTTAGGACATGCACATGCTAGAAGCAGCTATTTGCTGAACAAGCCCAGAAACACAATCAGAATAGAATAAAAACAAAAATAGTCCTTAAGAAACAATATTCTTATTTACAAGGGCAATGTGGGGATTCTCATGTCTTTTTGGGGTTCTTAAGCAAATGGTAGGAAGGAGGCGGCTGGCCTAAGTGCAGAGACAGAGAGCAGGTATCGGATTCTTGTCACATCTACTATTTCTGCGGTTCACAACCATCAACCCTAAACCCTAAACCCTAACCCCCTAGCAAACATGCTGAGAGCCTTCCGGAACACGCGTCTCTATCTGTAGGCTGATGGGAAGTTATACCTTGACGTGTTGTAAGTAGGATAACTATCTAAACCCTCGTTTGGGGTCTTCTAGCCCTAAACCCTAAACCCTAAACCCTAAACCCTAGGCTCTACAGCTGCAGATGAAGCTTAGAGGTAACAGCCCATTCTTTCACTTCTCAGTCGACTGGGCCATCGGGCCGAAGACGCAGCAGACATCAATGTCGCTTGGTCTGATGGCCATGCCCTCTTCCAGGCATTTGAAACCTGGCGTTTAGGGGTTAGGGTTTAGGGTTTAGGGTTTAGGGTTTAGGGTTTAGGGTTTAGGGTTTAGGGTTTAGGGTTTAGGGTTTAGGGTCCGGGGTTTAGAGTTTTGGGTGTAGAGTTCAGGGTTTAGGGCTTAGGGGGCTTACAGGAGAGTGTAGGTCGCCTACACTACACTTCTCCTCGTCGCGGCCTTCATTGACGACGGGCAAGTAGAGCATGTCGATGACATCTTCCTTTTTGGGTTTAGGGTTTAGGGTTTTAGGGTTTAGGGTTTAGGGTTTAGGGTTTAGGGTAGGATTAGGGGGAACTTTGGGGATGTAGACCCTCTGAATGAGGTCTCTGTTTAAGAGAGCCAGAAGAGGGGTAAGAAGGGTCCCCTTTTGAAGGGTCCCCCTTTATCCTACCTAGGATCCTGGGCACAGCAGGGACCATTGAATGGCCCCATAGTCAAGGTTCGACGCACAGAGAGAGCGAGACAGAGAGAGAGAGAGAGAGAGAGAGAGAGTGAGTGAAATCTATGCACGCTGATTCAAGCCACAAACTCTAAACCCTAACCCAGAAACCTTAAACCCTAAACCCTAAACCCTAAACCCTAAATCCTCAAGCCCTAATCCCTGAGGGTGTGGAATGGATACTCCGGGCTGCGGCAGACTTCATCTCTGGCGTCCCAGCCTTGTCCATCGACGTCTGCTGCACGCCAATGTTCTTCCAGACCTGCGCAAATACATTTAGGGCTTAGGGTTGTTTAGGGTTTAGGGTGTAGGGTGTAGGGTTTAGGGTTTAGGGTTTCGGGTTTAGGGTTTAGGGTTTAGGGTTTAGGGTTTAGGGTTTAGGGTTTAGGGTGTAGGGTGTAGGGTGTAGGGTTTAGGGTTTAGGGTTTAGGGCTACTAGACCCACGAGTAACCTAGGAATCAAAAGGGTGCCCTTTCTGGTTTCAAGGGGCTTATAGGGGAACCTAAACCCTAAGAGAAGGGAATAAGGACCTACTCTGGGTCCGAGACTACTTACAGTAAACTCCATAAGGTTGGAACATGGTTTGCGGACGATGTAGTGCTGGGATTCCCTTTCGTAACCCTCTTGGGGTATGAGGATAATGATGTCTCAACTTTTGAGGTTTAGGGCTTCAGACTTGGGCCCGAAGTGTTGAAATGATCCTCTTGAGCCCACTACGGGCAAATAAGAAATAACCCCAAGGGCCTACTAGATACCCCATGCGTCCCCAAAGTGAACTCAAGAAGTGCCTAAGGAACTTCCCACGTCAACCGTACACGTGGTTCTTTGCTTTTTGCTTCTGTTTAAGGGGAAGGGAGGGTCGGGAGGGGTTAGCGCTCAGGGTTTAGGGTTTAGGGTTTAGGGCTTAGGGTTTAGGGTTTAGGGTTTGGGGTTTAGGGTCTAGGGTTTAGGGTGTTTCATCACGCATGTCTCGCTGCGCCTGCTGGATGATGGCTTCGGCGTCGGGATCTCGGCTACTTCGTCGCTTCTCATCGTACTTGTAGAACCCCTGACAAAGGAATAGGGTTGAGTGTTTAGTGTTTAGTGTTTAGTGCTTAGGGTTTAGGGTTTAGGGTTTGGGGTTTAGGGTTTAGGGTTCAGGGTTTAGGGCGTAGGGTTTGTTTTAGGGTTTGGTTTCGGCTTGAGGGTTTAGGGTCTAGGGTTTGGGTTTGGTGCCAACTTCGGGTTCTTCAGACACAAACGGGGGTTTCCGCAAATAGGGTACCCTTTCTCATTCAATTTGGGGTTACCCTGTTTTGGTGAATGCCCAAATTTGATGGCTGTGCTGATCTCTCCGACCAGTGCTGACTCATGCCGGCACGTTGTCAGCAGAATTCGTCCCCGAAATCGCCAGCCAAAAACCTCTGGCAGATGCCTTGCCATTCTTCTGCCCGAAACGCTCAGCTTTGTACCTGTGCGCAAGGATTTAATAAGATGGCCCTTGAAACCTTTTGAACAAGATTCCTAAATCTCATCCTCTTAAAACCAATAAAGGAAAACATAAAGTGTCCCAAGGGCCTGCCCTGATGAGACTGCTTAGGGATTTGTATAGGGCCCTTCTGGGGGTATCGGTATCTTCTGATACCTCAGGGTAGCTACACGGTCCCTTAGTTTTGGCCCTTAAACGGGGACCCCTTCTACACCCCTTGGAGACTCCATACAGCCCAAGGGCCCCTATTTCAGAACCCTTTAGAGGAGGTAAGGGACCACTTTAAGGGCCCAAAAAACTACCCTGAGAGAAAGCCCACCCTGAACCCTAAACCCTAAACCCTAAACCCTAAACTCTAAACCCTAAACCCTAAACTCTAAACCCTAAACCCTAAACCCCCTTAGATAGCCTGTGAGGCTGGCTTGCCCGGGCTGTTTGTGATCTGGCCGTTCATTTGCAGGAGACGACAAGTTCAAAAAAAGGCTGCTGCTCATAGTCATCGTAGAGGATAGCAGATAGTAGATAGTAGATCGTAGATCGTAGATAGTAGATAGTAGGTAATAGATAGTAGATCATGGATAGTAGCAGATAATAGATAGCAGATAGTAGATAGTAGATAGTAGGTAGTAGGTAGTAGGTAGTAGGCAGTGGTAGTGGTAGTGGTAGTGGTAGTAGTAGTAGTAGTAGTAGTAGTAGTAGTAGTAGTAGTAGTAGTAGTAGTAGTAGTAGTAGTAGTAGTAGTCGTAGTAGTAGGTAGTAGTCGTAGTAGTAGTAGTTTGTAGTAGTCTCCTGAGAGTTCAGGGAGCCTTGGACTGCCCGGAGATGTTCACTTTGTCGGCTTGGCAGGCATCTGAGGTCGCAACATTGCGTCGAAGACATTCTTGTCCGGCTGGGCAAGTCCCGCCCTAAGTCCACCAAGGGAGTCATACTCGGAACCCTAAGGACCTACCCCCAAGAGGTTCCCTTAACATACGCCTCAATATGGCCTTAAGATTGCCTTAAGAGGACCTTTAGAAAAGGGTCCCCAAACCTAAGGGTACAACCTTCGGGGTCCGAGGTAAAATCCCATGACTCCAAGAGCTTCGGCGCAAAGTCTGGGCTAAAAAAGGCCTTCGCCACTGGAGGCGACCATTTCTTCTTACGGTAAGAACACGAATGATCGCAAGTATAAGTCTCGATGCTTGCTCCAGAACTATAATTTCTTCTTGTGATCGTCACAACCATGATCGTAAGTGTCAGTCTCGACCCTCGCTCAAACCTCAAAGGCAGGTGTTGGTCTCAAGCTCCAAGTGGCTTGGCGCGCTCGCGGCCAAAGAGGTCGATCCCCACCAGGTCGTTCATCCGAGATGGGCCCATGCGCATGCCGTACGCCTCTCTGGGCTTAGGGTTTAGGGGTCACCCTAAACCCGAAACCCTGAAACCTAGACACCCTAAACCCTGACCCTAAACCCTACACCCAGAGTTCAGGATTTGGAGTGTCGGTAATACAGTACCCGGATGAGGCCACGCAAGGCCAGCTTCAAGAACTGAGGACAGGTACAGATAGGCTTCCTGCAAAGCGGTGGCCGCATCAGATGTGCTTGCTAGCTCTGCATCACAATCAGAGTTTAGGGTTTAGGGTTTAGGGTTTAGGTTCCTTGCACACACTTGTATGACTCGCCAAGGCACTACATAGGGAAGGGCACCAATTCCCACGTGCCATGTTAAGAGCCAGTAAGTCAACCTACGTTCACGGTCAAACCCTAACCCTAACCCTAACCCTACACCCTACACCCTACACCCTACACCCTACACCCTACACCCTACACCCTAAACCCTAAACCCTAAACCCTAAACCCTAAACCCTAAACCCTAAATCCTAAACCCTAAACCCTAAACCCTAAACCCTAAACCCTAAACCCTAAACCCTAGCTTCGTTTCTCAAACTCCTTAACAGCATAACCCTAAACCCTAACTTCGTTTCTCAAATTCCTTAACAGCATCCCAGAGGTGGCTCTCCGTTCCTGGCCTCGGCGGCGTCGTCAATTTCGTGGGGCAGCAAGCCTCCATGAGAGCTCGGGGTAGGGTTTAGGGTTTAGGGTTTAGGGTTTAGGGTTTAGGGTTTAGGGTTTAGGGTTTAGGGTTTAGGGCTTAGGGTTTAGGGTTTCGGGTTTCGGGTTTAGGGTTTAGGGTTTAGGGTTTAGGGTTTAGGGTTTAGGGTTTAGGGTTTAGGGTTTCGGGTTTAGGGCTTAGGGCTTAGGGTTTAGGGATTAGGGTTTAGGGTTTAGGATTGAGGGTTAGGGTTTAGGGTTTAGGGCTTAGGGCTTAGGTTTACGGTACACAGAACGATGCTCCCCTTGGGAACCATCTCAAGTATGTTTTTTCAATTGTTAAGATGTTGATACCCTAAACCCTAAACCCTCAACCCTAAACCCTAAACCATAAACCCTAAACCCTAAAATGCCCGTGACCCATGCTTTGGAGTTTAACCCCTCAAGGAGTCAAAGAGAGCACTAATGGGTTGAATGTGTTGCCTAGGTATAACAGGGTGACGTTTTAGGTTAACTGGGGGTTTCTTACAAGTCCCTAAACCATTAATTCGAAACCCTAAACCCTCCAAACAGGGATGAGGGTGCCACTGGGCATCCTAGTATATGTGGATGTGGAGCGAGGTGTTTCTGTGATGCTTCAGTAAGGGCTCAAGAAGCGCGAAAGAGCCTGCGAGAAACTCGGGATGAGTCTACTTAGGAAGCAAAGTTCAAGGACGGAGAAAGACCTACATGCAGAAAAGCGCAACCACGCCCTAAAGCCTAAACCCTGTCTCCGCTGGCCCTGCCTTTGTGCAGCAGGTAAGGAAACCCGGAGACGCCCATGACCTGAGCGTCAGCAAATCACCCAACGTACTGAGCCCAGGCCTCAAGCGAAGAACGAAGCGGCTAGGGCTTTGGTTTTTTTTTGGGGGGGGGGGGGGGGAATATAGGGGCCTTAATGACTAGAATAGGGTTTTGGGGGTCATTTTTGCAGAATTTTCTAGGGGCCCTTAGGGAATACTAGGTAGTACTTCTTCCGACCCCTATAGCGATCGCTTAGCGCTTCGGGCTTACTTGGAGGTTCATGGCACTCATTCCCCAACGATAACTGTACTTAGAACTGTGCTTATAACCATCTTAGGGCACTTAAGGGGCTTATAAGTGGGCTATGTTATAAGTAGGTTATAAGTACAGTTAAAATATTTTAATAAGTACCATGAACCTCCAAGTAGGGGGTCCTAAACCCCAAACCCCAAACCCTAAACCCTAAACACTAAACACTAAACCCTAAACCCTAAACCTTAGGGGTAGGTAAAACCCCAAGATACCCAGGGCCGAGAAACTCGATTCGCGATGAAGCCGCTGCAGTTGCCGACCAAGCAGGTGACCTGCTGTGGTGGGGGGGCTTAGGGTTTAGGGCTTAGGGTTTAGGGTAGGGCTTAGGGCTTAGGGTGTAGGATTTCGGGCTTAGGCTTTAGGGATTAGAGGGCTTAGGGTTTTTAAAAACGGTGGGTAGTGTTTGTGAGGAGGCTTCAAGTGCCGCACGGGCTGAGGCGTCTGGGGGTTTAGGGTTGAGGGTTTAGGGTTTACTGTAGGGCTTAGGGCTTGTTAGGCGAAAATTGCTGAAACCCAGCAGGCAGCCGTCGCGCAATCTGCCATCCCCCATTCCCCGGCCCCGTGGGGGTTTACGATAATCGGTGTACCCAATGAGGTCCTGTTGATATGGGGATCCTACGATTTGGGTTTAGGGTTTAGGGTTTAGGGTTTAGGGTTTAGGGTTTAGGGTTTAGGGTTTAGGGTTTAGGGTTTAGGGTTTAGGGTTTAGGGTTTAGGGTTTAGGGTTTAGGGTTTAGGGTTTAGGGTTTAGGGTTTAGGGTTTAGGTTAGGGTTTAGGGTTTAGGGTTTAGGGTTTAGGGTTTAGGGTTTAGGGTTTAGGGTTTAGGGTTTAGGGTTTAGGGTTTAGGGTTTAGGGTTTAGGGTTTAGGGTTTAGGGTTTAGCTCCCACGTAGCTTCGAAAGACAAAGCCGCCCTTCCGGCAGGGCCGGAAGGGGATCAGGGACCCTTCCAACCACCAAAAACTGAACTCCTAAACGCCAGGATCACAAAACCCCCAACTCCAAACCTGTCAACCCTAAACCTTACGGCCGAGCCCCAAAACCTAAACACAAAACCCTAAACCCTAAAATCCTAAACCCTAAACCCAAAACCCAAGGCCTTCTTCAGCTTCGAGCCGAAGGCCATGGCCGTGGCAATGGTGTCGGGGGACTTGGCGATTGCGGTCCGATGATGGTGCGAAAGCTTTGGGTGTATTCAGGGATGGCTTAGGGTTTAGGGTTTAGGGTTTAGGGTTTAGGGTTTCGGGTTTAGGGTTTAGGGTTCTAGGTTCTAGGGTTTAGGGTTGCTAGGGTTGCTAGGGTTGCTGGGGTTGCTAGGGTTGCTGGGGTTGCTAGGGGGCCTCCTCACCCCCATCAAAAAATGTTGTTTCTTGAAATCCGAAAGACAGCTGCGTCGCCACTGCCACTTGGCACTTCCTTAAAAACATCATGCGCGAAAGCGAAGCACTAAAGCAAGAGCAACAATATAAACGAGGCAGGTACGACCATGCCCTGGAGTTCGAGTGGGCAGTCGGGCTCCTGAAGCGGCAAGAAGAAAAGCAAACATAAAGGCCCTCAATTAGGGAACGACACTCACAGTCCTGGCAGAAAACCTGCAGCTGGTCCTTCAAACCAGCACTACATGCAACAAGAAAGAATCAAGGAACCAAAAGTCCAAGGAACCGCTAAGGCCGCGTCGAATTGCGTGGCCTCGAAAGTTCGCAACCACACCACTCCAAGTCAATAGATAGAAGTCTTGGAACAGAGAACGAGATAGGGCGTTGACGTTGTTCTCCAGCCACGGAGACGGCGCCGCCTAGAAACACATCAGATATGACACATCAGTCACGCAACCTATAATGATTCACGAAGAACACTGAAATAGATTATATACGAGGCAGGTGCCGCAAAAGCTTCCAGCTCTGCCGGACAAACCGGCTCCTGAATCAGCAAGAAAAACAAGCATAAAGGCCTCTAATTAAACTATGGAACGAGAAAACAAAGAAACCACCCCAGACTAAAGCAGCAACCGTCCTCGGGAAAGAGCTCCAACTGCTCCTTTGACCAGGACACAGCATCACATGAAACACATCCAAGGACAAAAACAATCGTAGGGGCAGGACCAATGCACGAACAAGGGACAGTAAAGACCGTAAAAAAACGAGGCGCTGCCACTGCAGCGTCGGAAGACATGGCCTTAGTGCAACAATAGTACAAACCCGCAAAAAAAACATGATCAAGGCACATAAGCCAGCAACGCCATGCGGAATAGCAGGAGGAGGATGGTCCTCAAGCAAGTCGAACAACAGCAACAACTACGGATGCCAAACCACTAACTCCAACCACGCACCATTCAACTGAACTAATCAAGGCAAGCCACCGGGCCGTACGAGACCGGGTAGACAGCCTCCGCAAGGGTCCACTCCTCATTCGCAGCTGAAATAGCAACACCAGCTTGCAAACATACACCACGAACTAACAAACCCCATCACTAAACCAAGTAAAGTTTCCAGGTCGGGGCCGTCCAGAATGACCTTAAATGCACAGACTCAGAACCACCCCAGAAGCCTGTAATTCTTGCAATTCAGGCACACGATCGTGGCTATCCGGCAGCGCCTCGCTTGCGAAGGTAAGACAACTCAGCAATCCAAAGCCTTCAGAAAACCAGAACTGGCCAGGAAAAGCCAGAGCACAAGACACCAAGCACCTTAAAGCATCCAAGTAGCCATCGCCACAGCCACCAACGAGAACATCAATCCTGCCAAAGAAGCTGAGAAACAACAACACACGCAAATTGAAAACATAATGCACACACAAATTGAACAGTCGACAGTATAAACGGCTCCTCGAGACATGGCCAAAAGTGCGCAGCAGCTGGGGACTAGGAAATTGATGCTTCGCGGCGAAGAGCTTAGAGCCGAAATCACTGCAGAACGAGCAATCAAAGCTCAGCAAGAAAGGGCATAGAATAAGAGAAAGAGTCGCGCGTGCGGACAAACAGCAAGACAAGAAGATGAAGAAGAAGGACTCGACAAGCTAACGTCAGAGATGTCTATGCCTGTGAAACTCTGTGCAAAAGGCGCACAGATCGTGATCCGAAACCATAAATCATAGAACGCCGAAACCTGAAACCCCAAAACCCTAAACTCTTCTCCCTAAAACCCGAAACCCTGTGTTCCCAAGAAAAAAGACAGAGACACATTCCATTGCACACACACACACACACAATCAGCATCTCTGTTTCTCTTTATCTCTTTCTCTTTCTCCCTTCCAAACCTTCCTGGAACTGCCAGGAACCTTCCAGCAGCTTTCCTCGAAACTTTCCAAACGTCCTTCCCGGCCTTCCCGGAACCTTCACCGCCCGCCCAGCTTTCCAAAACCGCGGCCTCCACTCGACGGCTCCATACGGCTCCGCTGCGCTACCGAAAAGCAAGGCCCGACTGTTGCCAATGTTCAAAACAAAAGAGACTGTGAAAACAGCTCTCCCGACATACCCTCCAAGACCCTCTAAGAGGGGCCAACATAGCCTCCAGACCCCACCACCCCGGAGGTAGCTGCCACGGCGCCTTGCGACCTTTGTTAAGGAGGTGTCCTTCCCCTGTAGGGATACCCTTCCTCCGATAGAGCAACACAAGCATCAGTCCAACGATGATTTTCCGAAAGCAACCCAGAACCTACTACAACCAAGCAACAGGCAATCCTGCAGACAATGAGGGCTCCTCAGCATCAATCACACATACCGTTCGGTTTTCAGGGGCACGTCCACTGCACCCAAAAAAACACCTGCCAATGGCATCCCTGCTCCTCTCCTTTCCCCCCCTTTCTCATGTTCAAAAGGCCCCCTCCCCTAAAAATGGTTTCTGAAGCCTGTGCCTTAAAGCTTTGTTTCAAGCCTTTTCAAGCCTCATTAAAATCTTCCGGTATCCCAGACGGCTCTCCCGACTATGGCCCGTGTTTTTGTTTCCGGGGAAACAAAAACACGTTCCGGGACAGTCAGCCCCCCTCTCGAAAGAGGGATGCTGCCGCGGCGTCCCAAACCGCGACCCCCATCTGAAGGCCTCTCCCACCCCAACCCCAAATCCAGCCGGATCCCCAGCCCCAGCCCCAGCCCCAGCCCGAGCCACAAATGCGTGCGTCACGAAGATAATAAAAACAAAGAGGAACCAGTGAGAGGGTGAGAGAGGGTGAGAAACAGTGGAAGAATGGGTGTGGTCTCTCTCTCTCTCTCTCCCTCTCCCTCTCCCTCTCCCTCTCTCTCTCTCTCTCTCTCTCTCTCTCTCTCTCTCCCTCTGTTTCCCTCTCTCTCTCACACACACACACCAACAGAAACCAATCACGCTCGCCCGACGCTCCCTCCCTTTCATTTTACACGCGCGTGGAGAAAATGCGCTCGAAGGGCAGCCTTGTAAAATTGCACAAAAAAGATTACGGCGCTAAAGAAAGCAGCCTTAAAAAAACAATTAAACACACTACAGCCCAGGGGGGCTAATTTAAGGGCCAGACCCGCAGTAGTCAACGACCCCATTTGCTCATCTAATTTGACCAATGACTGAAAGTGCACGTGCCCATGAGCTACGACTAGATGAATAATACATACGAAAAAGATGAGCAAAGGGGCTAGGCCCGTGAAAGTGGACCTCAAATGCACCATTCCCTTTAACCCCTTCCCTAATCTTCAACCATCGAGTGTAGGGGTTTAGGGAGCTTGCGGTCTATGGCGTTTAGGGAGTGGTTTAGGGTTGAGGGGTTTATGGAGCATGGGGCAAAAGCTTTGGAGGTATTCAGGGTGGCTTAGGGTTTAGGGGTTTATAGGGTTTGGGTTTATAGGGCTCAGGGTTTGAGTGGTACGAGTCAACGAAGCGACGTTGCCACCACTAGCATGGCTAAGAGATCCCTGAAGGTTTTAGGGTTTAGGGTTTGGGGTTTAGGGTTTAGGGTTTAGGGTTTAGGGATGCGCATCTCCTAACTGCCATCCAAGTAGCCGTGCGAGGACCTCGCACGTTCCTGAGCTCCCAGCAAGCAGAGAATGAAGGCACCCTAAACCCTAAACCCTAAACCCCAAACCCCAAGCCCTAAACCCTAAAGCCTAAACCAGGCGCATCGGAGTTCAAGGAAGATCCGGAAAAGAAGCGCCATCCTCCTGGAAGCATACTGGTATTTCCCAAGATAAAGGTACCCTTTCATACCCCAAATAGAAAAAGTAGGGTTCAGGGTTTAGGGTTTAGGGTTTAACGTTTAGGGTTAAGCCCCATACTGATGCTTTCGGGCCGCTCCAGCAATCGCATGACGTTGGCTGGGGAGAAGAAGTGACCTGCGGATCTGCCCAAGCAAACCAAAGCATCCCAGGGCATCTGAGTAGGCTCCTAAACTACGGTCTCTTTTTTGGTCCCTAAACCCTAAACCCTAAACCCTAAACCCTAAACCCTAAACCCGAAACCCTAAACCCTAAAACTTTTTTTTAAGGGGAATCACCGACAAGGGACCCTAGTTTAGAAAACTACCGATCCCACTCAAGGAAGCAACACCAGCAGTGAAAGCCGAGCTCCCGACAGCCGATGACATCCTCGAAAGCTTCGAAAGAAGCACAAAGAGAAAGCATGGGGCTTAGGGTTTAGGGTTTAGGGTTTGTTTAGGGTTTAGGGTTTAGGGTTTAGGGTTTAGGGTTTAGGGTTTAGGGTTTAGGGTTTTGGGTTTTGGGTTTGGGGTTTAGGGTTCAGGCTCCAAGCTTTAGGGTTCAGGGTTTAGGGTTTAGGACAGCAACCCTAGGAAGGCAAGGCCCCCCCCCCCCTCCTCACCCTAAACCCTAAACCCTAAATCCCTAAACCCTAAACCCTAAACCCTAAACCCTAAATCCCTAAGTCCCCAAATCCCTAAATCCCTAAGTCCCTAAGTCCCTAAGTCTCTAAACCCCTAAACCCCTAAATCCCTGAATCCCTAAACCCTAAAGGCGCTACCGGAGCAAAAACCCTAAACCCTAAACCCTAAACCCTAAACCCTAAACCCTAAACCCTAAACCCTAAACCCTAAACCGTGCGCGTCCTGGGGGCGCTTGGTCGCCCCCGCAATCTCGTCGATGTTGAGGTAGCTCGTGTTGGAGGCCAGGATGCTGCCTCCGCGTGTTCGCATGCTAGGTCGCAAAAGAGGAAGAGCCATATATATATATATATATATATAAGTAAAAAAGTATATATATATATACATACATATATAGAGATATGCATATGAAAGCGTATGCGAAAGTACTGTATACAGATATATATATATATATATATATACATGTGTATATATCATGCGCATATGGTATGAAAGATCGATACATATGTGGGTGTGTATATATATATATATACCCGAGACGTATTTGCTCAACGTTTCGGGGTTTGGGGGTCTTTGGCTCAAGACGCGCCTGGCTTGCACACCTGGTCCAGTGTTGCAAAGATTTTCTTCTTCAGATCCATGTTCTCGAACACTGCCTGGAGGAAGGGAGAGAGAGCGAAAGAGAGAGAGAGAGAGAGCGAGAGATAGAGAGCGAGAGAAAGAAATAAAGAAAGAAAGAAAGAAAGAGATAAAGAGATAAAGAGATAAAGAGATAAAGAGATAAAGAGATAAAGAGATACACCCATCTCATCGAGACGATCTTCTACGAACTGCTTAAGAACACCCCGCAAAACAACCCTTAAAAACACCCAAATACTATATAATCCTTTCAAAGGAACCCCCAAAAGGGTACCCCTTTTCTTGAAACCCCCAAATAGGCAGATAGGTCTAGGGGGTCTAGGGTTTAGGGTCTAGGGTTTAGGGTTGAGGGTTTAGGGTTTAGGGTTTAGGGTTTAAGGTTTAGGGGCATCCAGCCTCCACCACGATGTCACACTGAGAGAGGGCATCATAGGAGGTCGCGGCCGTGATGTTTGAAAGCAGCTTGTCCACCTGCTCCTGTCTGGGCTTTGGTTTGGGGTTTGGGGTTTGGGGTTTAGGGTCTAGGGTTTAGGGTTTAGGTTTAAGGTTTAGGGTTTAGGTTTAAGGTTTAGGGTTTAGGGTTTAGGCTTTAGGCTTTAGGCTTTCGGCTTTAGGGTTTCGGGTTCAATCTGCAAGTGTCTGCAAGGGCCAGCCCACACCTGTCGGCGTCGCTTGGGCTGAAGGGCATGAGGAAGGTATGAACATGATTTGTCACAAGGTTCACCCCTAAACCCTAAAACCCTGAAACCCTGAAACCCAAAAATCCTAGAACCCTAAAACCCTAAAACCCTAAAACCCTAAAACCCTAACACCCAAAAATCCTAAAACCCTAAGACCCTAAAACCTTAAAACCCTACAACCCTAAAACCCTAAAGCCCTAAAATCCTAAAACCTTAAACCCCTAAAACCCTACAACCCTAAAACCCTAAAACCCTAAAACCCTAAAGCCCTAAGCCCTAAGCCCTACACCCTAAACCCTAAAACCCTAAAACCCTAAACCCTAAACCCTAAATCCTAAACCCTAAACCTTAAACCCAGCAGTACCGGAATTCCTGGGCTGAAGGGCACAGCCCCCCCAACCGTGTCCTGAGACTTCGACTTCCTCTCCACGCTTCTGGCATAGTTCTGCTTGATGACCTGTAGGGTTTAGGGTTTAGGGTTTAGGGTTTAGGGCTTAGGGTTTAGGGTTTAGGGTTTAGGGTTTAGGGTTTAGGGTTTAGGGTTTAGGGTTTAGGGTTTAGGGTTTAGGGTTTAGGGTTTAGGGGGACCTGAGCCTGAAAAAACTCAGTAGCGCCCAGATGAGACCGAAAGAGCCGGCATCTAAGGCCCCGGGCTTTCATGCCCCTCTCCAGGTTCTTCTGATCCACATCCAAAAGCACCACCTCATTTTCTAGACCCAGGAGTATCCTAGGAATAGAAAGGGGTTTTTGGGTTCAGGGTTTAGGGTTTAGGGGTTTCGGGTTTAGGGCTTAGGGTTTAGGGCTTAGGGTTTAGGGTTTAGGGTTTACTGTTTTTGTTTTAAGGGGATTCTTAGGGAACCCCAACCCTAAAAGAAGGGCCTACTCCGGGTGCTAATCTTTTTTGGGTTCTTAGGGGGGTAGTAGGGAGTATTAGGGAACCTTGGGTTCACCCCCCTTGAACCTCCCCTCCCTTAAGAACCCTATAAGCATCCTCTTTGAGCTTCGGATTTGGGAGTTTAGTTCAGGGAGAGGGAGTTTTGGGAGCTTGGGTTTAGGGTTTAGAGTTTAGGGTTTTTAGGTTTAGGGTTTAGGGCTGTTTAGGGTTTAGGTCTTAGTGTGGAGCTTGGGTTTAGGGTTTTTTGGAGGCATATACTAACACGCGGCGCCGCATGGCATAACGAATCAACGGGCATCTTCTTCCCACCTCCTGCCCTAGGTGACTTGAACTGTGGTTTGCGAGACATACACAAAACTGACAACACACACACACACACACACCCACGCACGCACGCACGCGCACGCGCACGCGCACGCGCACGCGCACGCGCACGCGCACGCGCACGCGCACGCGCACGCGCACACGCGCACGCGCACGCGCACGCGCACACGCACGCGCACACGCACACGCACGCGCACGCGCACGCGCACACGCACGCGCACACACACCCACACACACACACACACACACACACACACACACACACACCCCGCGAATCGAGAGCGTAAACACACTTCGACCGTCATGAGTGTGGCATGAAAGGGTTGCAATTCATCCATCATGGGCCGGGAACTTCAGGTGTACACGAAAGGCCACATGCTTTGCGGCTCACGTAGTCAAAGCACTAGCCCCACGACACCAGCTTCTTGCTGGCCACTGGATTGGAATTCGAAACCGAAGCTATTGTACAGGTGATCAATTCGCGTGCCAGGTCTTGCGACCAAATGCATCTGTTTGCATACCTTTACATTCTTTAGATTCTATTTTGAAATGCTTATCAATTGCTTGCAGCACCCCCTAAGACATTATAACAACATCTACGACAGCGGTATGACTTCTTTCACCTAACTTTTCTAACTCATTTGTAAACACAACTTATATGCAGAAAATTGCTTCGGAGCTTCTCCAATTTGTTTCACACTGGCTGAGACTTATGTTCTGGAAAAAGGAAACCTTTGACTCAGACCTATTGCTTTAACCCTAGCCCTAAACCCCAAACCCTGAACCCTAACACACAACCCCTACCCTACACCCCAAACCCTAAACATTTAGTTGCACATAACTCAACGGTCATCTTTGTCATTGCAACCGATGGTGAAGTCCCACCAGTAGCCAACATCTTCTCAACCCCGGCTAATATTGATGTTAATATAATCTAATCTCAATCAACCGAGTAATAGGCAACACAACACCTGCTACTGATGCTTATTCAAATGTAGTTCCTTTTGTAAGCAACTTCATACATTCAGTGCCCTTTAAGCATTTGTATTTACTTTGTAATGAAGTTATCAACTTTAACCAATGAACGGCTGTAGGCAACTCATCTATTGTTAAGAAAATGCAATTTGACGTTCCCCTACTTGAGTGTCATTTATGACCATGAACTGAGCACCGTTGATTATATTGATGTTTCGAGTAAAATGCTTCGTAGATTGAATGTTGGAATAAGAGACCAATTCAGTAAGGTAGTAGATTCGAACCTTTTTCAGGCGGTAAAAAGTAGAAATAAATTTCTGTAGAGAACATATTGGAGACCAGGAATGAGGAGGTTGCGGAGGTTAACAATGAAGAAGGCAGAGGCAGAACCCGAAGCTGTGTAGTTCCGCCACGCTGCACGAACCTAAACGGAAAGCGAAGTTCAAGCCCAAAAAACCCTGAACCTCTAGACCCCCTTACACACTTACCCTTGCTAGCCCCGTAACCGTCTTGTAGTTTGTTGGCTGGCTACTTTATACTGGAACACAAACCCAAAACAAGTGTGAAGGCTGCCACGGGGCGACCAAGAACCCCTAAACCCTAAACCCCAAACCCCAAACCCTAAACCCTAAACCCTAAACCCTAGACCCTAAACCCTAAACCCTAAACCTGCGACTCGGTCGAGCATTTAGGAGACTGGGCGGCCGGCCTTCATCCCGGCCTCAGCGCAGCACATGGCGATACCTCCGCCCATCAGCCCAGCACCTGCGACTGAGAAAGGGTTTAGGGTTTAGGGTTTAGGGTGTAGGGTGTAGGGTTTAGGGTTTAGGGTTTGGGGTGTAGGGTTTAGGGTTTAGGTTTTAGGGTTTAGGCGACTGAGAAAAGGGTTCGGGGTTTACGGTTTCTAGGGTTTCTAGGGTTTCTAGGGTTTCTAGGGTTTCTAGGGTTTCTAGGGTTTCTAGGGTTTTCAGGGTTTCTCGGGTTTCTCGGGTTTCTAGGGTTTCTAGGGTTTCTAGGGTTTCTAGGGTTTCTAGGGTTTCTAGGGTTTCTAGGGTTTCTAGGGTTTCTAGGGTTTCTAGGGTTTCTAGGGTTTCTACTGTAGGGATTCTAGGGTTTCTAGGGTTTCTAGGGTTTCTAGGGTTTCTAGGGTTTCTACTGTAGGGATTCTAGGGTTTCTAGGGTTTCTAGGGTTTCTAGGGTTTCTAGGGTTTCTAGGGTTTCTAGGGTTTCTAGGGTTTCTAGGGTTTCTAGGGTTTCCAGGGTTTCTAGGGTTTCTAGGGTTTCTAGGGTTTCTAGGGTTTCTAGGGTTTCTAGGGTTTCTAGGGTTTCTAGGGTTTCTAGGGTTTCTAGGGTTTCTAGGGTTTCTAGGGTTTCTAGGGTTTCTAGGGTTTCTAGGGTTTCTAGGGTTTCTAGGGTTTCTACTGTAGGGATTCTAGGGTTTCTAGGGTTTCTAGGGTTTCTAGGGTTTCTAGGGTTTCTAGGGTTTCTAGGGTTTCTAGGGTTTCTAGGGTTTCTAGGGTTTCTAGGGTTTCTAGGGTTTCTACTGTAGGGATTCTAGGGATTCTAGGGTTTCTAGGGTTTCTAGGGTTTCTAGGGATTCTAGGGTTTCTAGGGTTTCTAGGGTTTCTAGGGTTTCTAGGGTTTCTAGGGTTTCTAGGGTTTCTAGGGTTTCTAGGGTTTCTAGGGTTTCTAGGGTTTCTAGGGTTTCTAGGGTTTCTAGGGTTTCTAGGGTTTCTAGGGTTTCTAGGGTTTCTACTGTAGGGATTCTAGGGTTTATGGTTTAGGGTTTAGGGTGCTTGAACTCTCGGCCCTCACTCTGCTGGACCCCGGACCTGAAACAAATACAAGTAGGGTTTAGGGATTAGGGATTACAGTTTAGGGTTTAGGGTTTAGGGTTTAGGGTTTAGGGTTTAGGGTTTAGGGTTTAGGGTTTAGGGTCTGGGGATGCTTTGGGCTTCGGGATTCGTGTTTATGGTGCGGGGCTGCAAAAACCCTTGGCCGTCATGAAGCCATGAAAGGGCCTGAAGCCTTCCAAGCCTTATAAGCTCTGGAGAGGCCGCCTTTAGGGTTTAGGGTTTAGGGTTTAGGGTTTAGGGTTTAGGGTTTAGGGTTTAGGGTTTAGGGTTTAGGGTTTAGGGTTTAGGGTTTAGGGTTTAGGGTTTAGGGTTTAGGGTCTAGGGTTTAGGGTTTAATTAGGGTTTAGGGTTTAGGGGTACGAAAGCCTCAGAAAGCTCACAGAACCCGAAGCCCCAAACCCATACAAGCCCGCAACCCTACACCCTTACGAGACCTCATGCCCCCTCCCTAAACCCGCAAACCCTTGAACCCTTGAACCCCTAAACCCTAAACCCTAAACCCTAGACCCTAGACCCTAGACCCTAAACCCTAAACCCTAAACCCTAAACCCTAAACCCTAAACCCTAAACCCTAAACCCCTTGTACTTCTCCAGGCACCCACGATGCCGGCGCTGTTCAGCGGCTTGGGCTTGGACTCCAAGCCTGGCGGCCATGAGAGGTGCTTCTCTTTTTTGGGGGGGCTCAAGGTTTAGGGAGTTTAGGGTTTAAGGAGTTTAGGGTTTAGGGAGTTTAGGGAGTTTAGGGAGTTTAGGGAGTTTAGGGAGTTTAGGGAGTTTAGGGAGTTTAGGGAGTTTAGGGAGTTTAGGGAGTTTAGGGAGTTTAGGGAGTTTAGGGAGTTTAGGGAGTTTAGGGAGTTTAGGGAGTTTAGGGAGTTTAGGGAGTTTAGGGAGTTTAGGGAGTTTAGGGAGTTTAGGGAGTTTAGGGAGTTTAGGGAGTTTAGGGAGTTTAGGGAGTTTAGGGAGTTTAGGGAGTTTAGGGTTTAGGGTTTTGGGGTTTAGGGCTTTTGGGTTTTGGGTTTAGGGTTTTTGGGGTTCAGGGTTTAGGAAGTAGAGAGCAGGGTTTTGGTCGCAGACTTGGGCGTGTTCGCAAGTGCGCGCGCGCTCGGGCACTGCTTGCGCACCCACCTCGGCCACCCAAAAAGTCTTAACAGGGTTTAGGGTTTAGGGTTTAGAGTTGGCCCCAAACCATCCTTCAGAAGAGCTTTCCAAATCTGCTTCTTTTGCCCCACCCAAACAAAGCTTAGAAGGCTCCCGGACGTAGCTTCGGCCCCAGATCTTCTGAAAAGCTGCGCAGCTGGGGGGCCCCTGGAGAATGGCCCGAAAACCCTGTAGAAGCCCATAATCCTGGGAGAGCGCAGGGATCCCCCAAACTGACCCAGTTACGTTCGGAAATCGCCGGTAGGGTCTAGGGTCTAGGGTCTAGGGTCTAGGGTTTAGGGTTTAGGGTTTAGGGTTTAGGGTTTAGGGTTGAGGGTTGAGGGTTGAGGGTTGAGGGTTGAGGGTTGAGGGTTGAGGGTTGAGGGTTGAGGGTGAGGGGCTCGGGGAGGGTAGGAGGTTTGGGGGTCCTAGGTTTGAGGGTTGAGGGCTTTTTTGGGGGCCCGATCTTCCTCGCCTGGTATCTTGAAGCACTGTCGCTCTGCGAAGAACATGTACCTCGCAACGTGTCATGGTTTAGGGTTTCGGGTTCTAGGTCTTTTGGAAGGGAGGGGGGGGGGGGGTTATGGTAGGGGGATGTGCGTTATTGGAATTTAGGGTTCCCATCACATCCCTTCGAACCTTATCAAAATGTACCCGCTACATGGACCCAAACCCTACACCCTAAACTTTAGGGTTGACGCTTTAGGGCGTCTGGGGTTCAGGGTTGAACTGACTCGACGTGCTGCTGGGCTGCTGCATGGCCTTTGACTGAGACCCCCTGAAGAGTTTGCCTCGGCCGCTTATAGGGTGTAGGGTTTAGGGTTTAGGGTTTAGGGTTTCGGGTTTCGGGTTTCGGGTTTGGCGTTAAGGAATTGGGGTTTCGGGTTTAGGGTTTGGGGTTTTGGTTTTAGGGTTTAGGGTTTAGGGCTATAAAGCCCAAGCCCAAACCCTAACCCGAAAGGTCAGCACTAGTATGAAAAGTTCAGGGGCTTAGGGTTTTTCGAGTTTCATCATGGAAGATGTTTCACACGCAGCCCACTTACATGAACCCCGGGCATAAAAACGGGGTTGAGGAGCCCGAAAATCTAAACCCCAAGCCCGAAACTCAAGGTACTGTAAATCGCTAGGGCCCATTCAGCCCTAAACCCTAAATCCTAGACCCTAAACCCTAAAGCCTATCCTTAAACCCTAACCCTAAAGCCTGAACCCTAAACCCTAAACCCTAAACCCTAAACCCCAAACCCTAAACCCTTCAAGCCCAGGGCGCCAAACTCCATGCCCTCCACGTTCATGCCATCCCGGAAGTCCTGGCTCGCGGCGGCCTCGATGCAGGTGATGATGGCTTGCGGCGCTGCCTCGCCGGCCCTCAGCTTCATGTACTCCTGGGGGGCGGGGGGGGCCGTATGGCTAAACCCTAAACTCCAAACGAGGTTGGGTTTAGGGTTTAGGGTTTAGGGTTTGGGGTTTGGGGTTTGGGGTTTAGGGTTTAGGGTTTAGGGTTTAGGGTTTAGGGTTTAGGGTTTAGGGTTTAGGGTTTAGGGTTTAGGGTTTAGGGTTTAGGGTTTAGGGTTTAGGGTTTAGGGTTTAGGGTTTAGGGTTTAGGGTTTGAGTTTAGGGTCATGAAGGCGGTCAGTGCAGTCGGAAGCATTAGGGGTAGCGCCCAGTGGGCTGACTTCAGAGTGCCAATATGGTTGGGTGTAGGGTTTAGGGCTTAAGGTTTAGGGGTTAGGGTATTGTTTTCGTATCACCAACACGTTTATGGGCAGTACTCATACTATTCTTCGACTTACTGATACAGTTTTTGGTTTTGCGAAATGTTGTTGCCATGATGACAAGGTGTGCTAACATTGCATTTTTTCTTTTTCTCACGAAACGACCATTGCTATTTTTGTCGTTCACGAAATACTTGTCCACATCACGATACGCTTACCCTAGACCCTGAGCCCTCAACCCTAGACCCTAGACCCTGAGGCCTCAACCCTACACCCTCGACCCTGCCCAGACCCTGAACCCTGAGCCCTAAACCCTAAACCCTGAACCCTAAACACATGTGCACCTCTTTGGGAGCTGGGAAGGCAGGGCGGCGACCGGGTCATGAGCTTTCGGTGTAACAAGTTGATTTCATGAGCCTCTACAAGTACAAACGCTATCCCCTCTGCAACCCCTAAACCCTAAACCCCAGACCCTAAACCCTAAACCCCAAACCCTAAACCCTAAAATGCCCAAGCCTAGCTCAACACAGCCACCGTGCCTTCCGCTTGGCGGCCAGCGCTTCAGGATTCGTGGTCTTGGCCCTGCCATTGCCTCGGCTCCGATGCGGCCGGAAGCTGCATTTGTTGTTAGTTAGGGTTTGGGGTTGAGGGTTTAAGTTTAGGGTTTTTAGGGTTTTTAGGGTTTAGGGTTTAGGGTTTCGGGTTTAGGGTTTAGGGTTTAGGGTTTAGGGTTGAGGGTTTAGGGGTCAGGGGTTTAGGGGTTTAGGGGTTTAGGGGTTTAGGGGTTTAGGGTTTAGGGTTTAGGGTTGAGGGCTTAGGGCTTAGGGCTTAGGGCTTAGGGCTTAGGGCTTAGGGCTTAGGGCTTAGGGCTTAGGGTTTAGGGTTGCCGTAAACCCTATCGGCTCTTTGCAGGACATGAGGACATGAGGGAATTAGGCACCTTCTTTCCCCCTATATATTTACTCTTTCAGGGATTAGATTCCCTCAGCCCCTACTAAGAACAAGCACGACAAGCTACGGCATGGGAGCCGCTAGGTAAGGTTCAGACTTCAGGAAACCCTCAACCCTAAACCCTGAATCCTAAACACAGAAACCTTAAAAGGGTAGGCTGAGGGGTGCGCAGGGCTTCGGGTGTTTACCGAACGTGAGTTTAGGGTTTAGGGTTTCGGGTTTCGGGTTTAGGGTTTAGGGTTTATTTAGGGCTTAGGGTATAGGGTTTAGGGGTTGCAGTTTAGGGCTTCAGGGACTTCGACTCCTTAGATGGGCATTGCACCGCTTCATACACCCCGAAGTACCCTAAACCCTCAAACCCCTCAGAATACACCCCATGAGAGGACTCCCTCCCTTAAACCCCAAACCCCGAACCCCAAACCCCAAACCCTAAACCCTAAACTCCAAAACCTAAACCCTAAACCCTAAACCCTAGACCCTAAATCCTAAACCCTAAACCCTAAACCCTAAACGCTAAACCCTAAACCCTAAACCCCAAAAAACACGAGACCCCCAGATACCGGGGCCGAGTGGCAGAGCCTACGAGTCGCCAGGTCCACGTTGAGCTGCCAGGGGCGTAAAGAGGTTTAGGGTTTAGGGTTTAGGGTTTCGGGTTTCGGGTTTCGGGTTTCGGGTTTAGGGTTTAGGGTTTAGGGTTTCGGGTTCAGTGTTTCGGGCTTTGCAGGGTTTAGAGGGCTTTTGGGGCTTTACAGGGTTTAGGGCGTTGCAGGGTTTAGGGTTCAGGGATTGGTCAATCATCCCGTCAGGGCTTTGTAGTATCAATAGAAGCAAATCAAAATGCCTAAGGGTTTAGGGCTTAGGGTTTAGGGCTTTAGGGATTTAGGGTTTAGGGATTATCAAGAACAGAAGGCGATGGGGAGAAGCAACAGGCTCAGCTCCAGTTAGTTGCAAGTGAAGCTGCACAAGAACAGCTCCTCAGACTGTCCATACTTGGGCTTTTAGGGGGCTGTAGGGCTTTTAGTGCTTTTAGGGCTCTTAGGGCTTTTAGGGCTTTGAGGGCTTTGAGGGCTTTGAGGGCTTTGAGGGCTTTGAGGGCTTTGAGGGCTTTGAGGGCTTTGAGGGCTTTGAGGGCTTTGAGGGCTCCTAGGGCTTTGAGGACTTTTGGGGGTTTAGGGGTTTAGGGTGTGTTTTGGGCTTCGAGGGCTTTGAGGGCTTTCAGGGCTTTCAGGCTTTGAGGACTTTTACGGCTTTAGGGCTTTGTTGGGTTAGGGCTTCAGGTTTAGGATGGGTACTTGCAGGTAGGGTTAGGAGTACCCTCAGTAAGGTTACTACCATAGATATACCCTCTTTGTAACTCTGGTTCTTAGTAGCGGAATGAGGGGATGAGGTAACCTACAGGGTATACATTGGGGGTTACAAGGTACCTAACTCCCTCACCAAGAACCAGCAGGATAACCCTGCTTGTAAGTGCCCTTCTCCTTTTGTCAGATGTCCCTAATCCCCCTAAGCCCTGAACCCAATGAACCCAAAAAGGGTAAGGATCTAAAGTTACGGTAAAGTACCACAAAGCTACAAAACCCAAGTGAGCTGCGCCTGGCGTGACGCGAAGTCCACCGCGGCCTGTGTACTTTTTTGGATTCCTTAAACTTTACTAGTAACTATGGTCCCTTCAAACACACGCCCGTTGCATTAGGAGACCCAAGAGGAACCTAGGAATTAGAAATGTGGCTTTACAGGGGGGCTTATAAGGGAACCTAATCCCCAGAAAAAACCAGGGGAATAAGGGCCTCTCTGGGTCCTCGAAAAGGGGAAACAGCATTTATTGCAGTGCCCCATTTGGATGCCCAGAGGTCTTGAGAAACGTTCCTTCTCAAGGAAGATTTAGGGTTTAGGGTTTAGGGTTTAGGGTTTAGGGTTTAGGGTTTAGGGTTTAGGGTTTAGGGTTTAGGGTTTAGGGTTTAGGGTTTAGGGCAGAAGCTCGCAAAACAGGTGCCTGAACGACCGCCGCATTGTCGCCCTCGACCACCTCGTCGAAGATGCCTACCTCTGCGCCGAGGGCCAAGAGAATATACCTAGACGACTTTCATGGACTCTGGGGTTAGCGAAGTAGTTCTAACTCTAACTCCTTCATGACTCACAACCCCTCAGTAGCCTTCGCAGCGTCCCTTGATGAGGTGGTGCCCCCTTCTCTGAGTAGGCTCACGAGCCTCCGGGGTTAATCTTTGGGGTCACGTAGCACTGGGTGCAGGCCATGAAAGCCAATTCCACTTCGGAACCCTCCCAAATGCCCTCAAGCCCACAACCCTAAGCCTTAAGCCCAAACAAAAACCCTAAACCCTAACCCCAAACCCTAAACCCTAAAACCCGACAAATCTTCCCTGCCTTGGCGGCTTGCGCGGCTTTCACAGGTGCCCCTCGGCACATGAAATCCACACTGGGGTCCTGAGCAGGTTTGGGGCTTCATGGTTTATGGCTGAGGTTTAGGGTTTAGGGTTGGTTTAGGGTTTAGGGTTTAGGGTTCAGGGTTTAGGGTTTAGGGTTTAGGGTTTAGGGTTTAGCGTCTCGGGTTTAGGGCTGAGGGTTTAGGGAGGGTTAGGGTTTAGGAGGGTTTCCGGGGTGTTGCATGTTTGGACCTTTCTGCTTTTTGATTCCTTAGACCACATCAGAAGATCCCCCCTTGCAATGCCCTCCTTGATGAAAGATTGGGCTCTCTCCCGCCGGCCAAAAACCCTCGACCTTTAACGACCCTCAAAGCTAAAAACCTAAAGCCCTGAAAATGCAGAGAACAGCCCTGCAACCTCCCCAAACCCTTCAAAAACCCCGCCCCACCCACCCCTCAACCGCCCAGCCATCCCCCTATTGTTGGTCAGGTCGTCTTTGACCTTGTTCGCTTTGTCGTGGGGTCGGGGAGGGGGGAGATGGCCAACGACGAAGAGCAGATTCCGTTCCACCCCCCAAGCTCTGCTTGCTGGCGCGTCTCTTAAGGCTCTTAAGGTGTGGTCAGACTGCAAGCAAGGCATGATGATATGGGACCAATTTGTTCGTGTGGTGCCTTTGAGATGCTGAATCCAGCACCCCAAAACCCAAACCCTAGACCACAAACCCCAAACCCCAAACCCCAACCCTAAACCCTAAACCCTAAACCCTAAACCCTAAACCCTAAACCCTAAACCCTAAACCCTAAACCCTAAACCCTAAACCTCTGAAGCCCTGGGGCCGCCCCAATCAGCCGCGGAAGGCGCTGGGTGCCCCCAGCGCCCGGAAGGATGCCCAGGTTGACCTTTCTTTTGGGGTCGGGTTTAGGGTTTAGGGTTTAGGGTTTAGGGTTTAGGGTTTAGGGTTTAGGGTTTAGGGTTTAGGGTTTAGGGTTTAGGGTTTAGGGTTTAGGGTTTAGGGTTTAGGTTAGGGTTTAGGGTTTAGGGTTTAGGGTTTAGGGTTTAGGGTTTAGGGTTTAGGGTTTAGGGTTTAGGGTTTAGGGTTTAGGGTTTAGGGTTTAGGGTTTAGGGTTTAGGGTTTAGGGTTTAGGGTTTAGGGTTTAGGGTTTTTAGGGTTTGGGGTTTGGGGTTTAGGGTCTAGGGCTTAGGGTCTAGGGTCTAGGGTTTTGGGCTTGGAGTTTAGGGTTTAGGGTTTCGGGAAGTTGCGAGGCGTACTCTCGCCTTTGGCGGGTCGCCATCCAGATGACAACCCCACACCTCACTTGAAATTTGAGGTTCCATGGGGCCTGGAGCAACCTGAACCCTAAATCCTAAGCCCTAGACCCCTGATTAGGGTAACATTGGGGTCGGAATAAATACTAATTGTATTCCCTGATGGTCCCTTTATAACTGAACCATAAAAACCCTAGAACCCTATAACCCTTTAACCCTATAACCCGATGACCCAAAAACCCTATAACCCAAAAACCCTACAACCTTATAACCCTATAACCCTATAACCCTATAACCCTATAACCCTATAACCCTATAACCCTATAACCCTAAACCCTAAACCCCAAAACCCAAAACCTAAAACCCTAAACCCTAAACCCTAAACCCTCAACCCTAACCCCTAACCCTAAACCCTGAACCCTGAACCCTAAACCCGCCCTTATCCAAAGACACATCGTGCGAGCAAGTGTCCTCAGGGAGGCCAACCTTCGCGAATGGCCGAGGTAAGGCGGTTTAGGGTTCAGGGAGACCGTCAGGGTTTAGGGTTTAGGGCTAGGGGTGCTTAGGGTTTAGGGTTTAGGCCTTAGGGCTTAGGGTTTAGGGTTTAGGGTATAGGGCTCAGGGCTTAGGGTTTAGGGTTTCGGGTTTAGGGTTTAGGGTTTAGGACGTGGCTACTGAGAGTTAGGACTCCGTGTTCGGGAGTGCAGGTGGTGCCAGAGTTGTATGACATTGGAAAAATGTCTGCATCCAGTTCCAGGGTTTAGGGTTTAGGGTTTAGGGTTTAGGGTTTAGGGTTTAGGGTTTAGGGTTTAGGGTTTAGGGTTTAGGGTTTAGCGTTTAGGGTTTAGGGTTTAGGGTTTAGGGTTTAGGGTTTAGGGTTTAGGGTTTAAGGTTTAGGGTTTAAGGTTTAGGGTTTAGGGTTTAGGGTTTAGGGTTTAGGGCTACGACGCCCCGGAGCACCTCGGAAGGAGTTCACGTGTGCGCTTGCTGAAGTGCCCTACTTTGGGTTTAGGGTTTAGGGTTTAGGGTTTAGGGTTTAGGGTTAGGGTTTAGGGTTTAGGGTTCAGGGTTCAGGGTTCAGGGTTCAGGGCTTTGGGGGTGATGGGTTCCTCTCTCTCAACCCAATGCCCCCATCGCCTGGGAGCGCACACTCGCCAGTCGCCAATGGCAGCCCAGCGCAACCTCGCAACCTCCTCGGGCGCTGCAGGCTTATAACTTTAAGGTTTAAGGTTCAGGATTTAGGGTTTAGGGTTTAGGGTTTGAGGTTTAGGGTTTAGGGTTTAGGGTTTAGGGTTTAGGGTTTAGGGTTTAGGGTTTAGGGTTTAGGGTTTAGGGTTTAGGGTTAGGGTTTAAGGTTTAGGCACCCGGGTTCCAGGCCTTGAAGTCTGGGCTGAAAATCTGGAGTTCAAGGGCCTTAGGATTCAGGATAGAGGGTTTAGGGCAAAGGGTTTAGGGTTTAGGGTTTAGGGTTTAGGGTTTAGGGTTTAGGGTTTAGGGGTTTAGGGTTTAGGGTTTAGGGTATAGGGTTTAGGGTTTAGGGTTTAGGGTCTAGGGTTTAGGGTTTAGGGTAGAAATCTTTTCCGTTGACGGAGCTTCGACGCTACTCTAGGGGCATCCTTCCTTGATCGGAAGGTTTCACGAGCAGCTTCGGGAACCTCTTTAGGGTTTAGGGTTTGGGAGTTGAAGCTCAGGGCATAAAAAAACCCTAAACCCTAAACCCTCAACCCTCAACCCTAAACCCTAAACCCTAAACCCTAAACCCTAAACCCTCAACCCTAAAACTGGCTCCGCGGAGGCTGCGGCCTCCCAGCGCGACGCCATCGATGGCCGCCACCACCGGCTTGTTGCTGGCTTCGAGGGCATCAATCACCTTAATATAGGGGTTTAGGGTTTAGGGTTTAGGGTTTAGGGTTTCGGGTTTAGGGTTCAGGGTTCAATCACCTTAATATAGGGGTTTTGGGGGGTTGAAGTGGTTGAGGGTTTAGGGGGTTTGGGGTTTAAGGGGGCTTATGGGATTTAGGAGTTTAGGGGGTTTAGGGATTTAGGGTTTTGGGGTTTGAGGGTTTGTAGGGGCTCAGGGCTTGGGGGTAGAAGGGTTAAACTCCGAGAGAATGCTGCCCCCCCCCCCCCCCCTCTTAACCTTCATAAACCTCAGGGTTTAGGGTTTAGGGTTTAGGGTTTAGGGTTTAGGGTTTGGGGTTTAGGGTTTAGGGTTTAGGGTTTAGGGTTTAGGGTTTAGGGTTTAGGGTTTCGTGCCTGGGCCCTAGAGCTTGAAAGGTCAAGTGGCCATGGGCAGTGGCGGTCCCGCCATTCCAGTCGCGAACTCGCTGATATCGGCTCCTGCGGGCAACTTGGTTTCGGTGTCTTATTTAGGGTTTAGGGTTTAGGGTTTAGAGTTTAGGGTTTAGGGTTTAGAGTTTAGGGTTTAGGGTTTAGGGTTTAGGGTTTAGTGTTTAGGGTGTATGGGCTGCAGTCTTCTGCATACCTAGTTCATGGTTGGGATAGTAGTTAAAATGTTAAAATGTCTATTCCTTATTGTGTTCAAGCACCCTTAAAAATGTAAAATGTTTCCCCACTATGTACGGCGCTTAGCATTTTTTTAAATTCCTAGGGTCTTAGAGTTAGCTGGATCCTCCGACAGAAACATGTCGGTCTTGTGTTCATTGCACTGAGCTTGTTCACTCAACAACTCGTTTCAGTGCAGCTTCTCCCGCAACCACTTGCTGCGCTTGCGTCCAACACGGAAATGGCATGAAGAGCACGATTCCCTCACTCGAAAGCAGCATAGGGAATAGAAGGTACTGAATATCCTGATACCCTACTAACCCCCGCACTAACCTAACTCTACTTAACCTGCCAACCCTAGGCTATCCCTACTGGCCCTTCTAACCTCTACTAACCCCACAAACCTGAGTAACTAGTAGCTCTACAAACCCTACGTAGCAACTCTACGAAACAAACCCCAACCCCGTTCAGGAACTACTACAGGGGTCGGAATAATTACTTATAGCATCCCCTTATGGCTCCTTAATATACTATAGTAGCCCCCAAAACCCTATAACCCTAAACCCTAAACCCTGAAACCCTGAAACCCTAAACCCTAAACCCTATACCCTAAACCCTCAACCGTAAGCCCTAAACCCTATAACCCTAAACCCTAACCCCAAAACCCCATTCCTATTTTTAAGGCCCCCATATCACCCTATAACCCTAAACCCTAACCCTTAACCCTAAACCCTAAGCCCTAAACCATAAGAGTTTAAATTATTCAGGCCCCCATACCACCCACCCCTGGCCTGCACAGAAGGCACCGTGCGCGCCCGTGACAACCACCGCTTTCACTTCGGGATCCATTCCGATCTCCTCAGGCAGGGTTTAGGGTTCAGGGTTCAGGGTTTAGGTTTAGGGTTTTGGGTTTAGGGTTTAGGGTTCAGGGTTTAGGGTTTAGGGTTTCGGGCTTGGGGTTTAGGGTTGAGGGTTTAGGGTTTAGGGTTTGGGGTTTGGGGTTTAGGGTTTAGGGCTTGGGGTTTAGGTTGCCCTGTCCCGCCTTGATGCATCGATCAAGGCCATCACGCACTCCGGAACTGAGGGCATTCACTGGCCTCGCGCTGGACGCAGAAGGGTTTAGGGTTTGGGGTTTCGGGTTTAGGCTTTGGGGTTTAGGGTTTAGGGTTTTGGGTTCAGAGTATTAGGGTTTAGGGTTTAGGGTGTTGAGAGGGAAGGGTGCCAATGTTCCGAATGCAGCGCGTTGCCCAGCTGGCAGGCCTTGTTGAGAGTGTCGCTTGAAGTAGCTCCATGAGTACCCAGAGAGCCCAAAACCCCTTAAGTAAGCAATATTCCTTAAACCATACAGGGATCCTTAGTATGATTTAAGGAATATTCCTTAATTGAGGTGTGAGTCGCCCCTAACTTTTTAAGACCCTAAGCCGCCCGAGCCACTGGGGTTAAAAGCAGGGCAAAACAAACACGTACGCATGTAACATAAGGCACGTATATATATATATATATATGTATATATATATATGTATATATATGTATATATATGTGTATATATATGTATATATATGGGTCACCGCCTATAGCGGTTCCCCTGTGTTTTTGCACATTCCCTGAAACCATTTAACCAAGAATCCCTCAAACCATTAAACCATTAAACCATTAAACCATTAAACCAATGGTTTTCCCCATATGAAAATCCACTAAACCATTAAACCATTAAACCATTAAACCATTAAACCAATGGTTTCCCCCATATGAGAATCCATTAAACCATTAAACCATTAAACCATTAAACCATTAAACCATTAAACCATTAAACCAATGGTTTTCCCCATATGAAAATCCACTAAACCATTAAACCATTAAACCATTAAACCATTAAACCAATGGTTTCCCCCATATGAGAATCCATTAAACCATTAAACCATTAAACCATTAAACCATTAAACCATTAAACCAATGGTTTCCCCCATATGAGAATCCATTAAACCATTAAACCATTAAACCATTAAACCATTAAACCATTAAACCAATGGTTTCCCCCATATGAGAATCCACTAAACCATTAAACCATGTTCAGGGGGGGGGGAACCATTGGTTTAATGGTTTAATGGTTTAATGGTTTAAAAACCATTGGTTTAATGGTTTAATGGTTTAATGGTTTAAGGGATTTTCATATGGGGAAAACCATTGGTTTAATGGTTTAATGGTTTAATGGTTTAATGGTTTAATGGTTCAATGGTTTATTCTCATAAGGGGGAAACCATTGGTTTAATGGTTTAATGGTTTAATGGTTTAATGGTGCTCCTGCCGAGGTACTTCGACCGCAGCTGATGCTGCCGTGGCATCACATATTATCATATATGTAATATAATTTTCTGTATTACATACTCCTAAAATTCTGAATCGCAAGAAGTGCTCCCCGTATCTTTTCTTCCCCTCAAATATTGAATCGCAAGCAGTGTCCCCCGTATCTTTTCTGCTCATAAATATACGTATACTATATGGTCGCCTATGTTGATTGCGCCTCGGCTGCATTTAGACACTCAACAAACATGCGAGTTATAACCTGGGAGTGGTGGTTATAACCAGACACTGTTTCGAGAACCATGTTCTCATATTGCAGTGTCTACATGCTCGAGTCGTGAGACTTAGCAAGTTAGCACCATGAAGCGAGCAGCTCGTGTATCGGGCATGATGGAAATCCTCGGAAACGGCGCTTGTGTGCTTCAGCTCTCGCAAGTCAAAGACGGGCGTGATGTTGACCACACTGTACCCTCATGTAGTTGTACAGTTCCAGATTGTGCAAAGCTGAGAGCCGACATCGTTAGCGGTGTAGTGCCCTCACATCCCAGCAAGCGAAATCTGGACAAGACGGCTATCAACCATTACATCAACTATCTACAGCGGGATGCCGGGCTACCTCGTGGCATGAGTGGTGGATGGAATGACACCGTGCAAGAGAAACTACATGCTTGGCTCATGAAGGAGAAGAAGCGCACCAGAACCAAACAAAATGCGGGCACAGTCCATGCCATCACGGACGGCAGTGTGGAGGACCCCATCGAGGAGGCTAACTCGGATACTCAAGAGGCTCCAGACAAGCAGAAGTCCAAGGGCAAGAAAGCTATCACCATGGGCGAGGGGCACTCAAGCAAAGATAGCCGGGACGACAACAAGAATGCAGGGAACATCTCCAATGGCAACGGGGCCATCACCATGAGCGAGGGGCACTCCAACATAGAGAGTGGGGGCGACTCAGATAGTGACTCGTCATCCAGTTCGTCCTCGTCGGATTCCAGTGCGACGCCACAGGCCTCAAGCTCAAATGCGGCACGCCAACCTGCTGACAGTGAGTGTGTAGATATCACAAAATGGGAGCCTGAATGGCATGACGCCTTTCAGAGTCTCACTGTTTTGGAGGACCAGATTGGGGAATCGCAGAAGAAGCGTCGCATTCTCAAAGATGCGCTCCAGCATTTGGCAAACGCCCACAAGGCATGGGCAAACGCCTAGTGAACATACAGGTTCACTGTAGCAGCACACTTCTTCCCGCGGGGCTGACAGAAACGTGCTTTCTGCATTTATTGTAGTGAGGCGGTGTATCCTTGATGGTTGAGTGTGGCGAGAGCTGTGTATGCATGTGCTATCGAAAACGCTCACGCGCAGTGCAAATGCACATTGACAAGCATGTGCAGGTAATGGACAAGGAGTCCTGTTATAACCGGAGTCTCTGGTTACATCTGTCCTGTTGTGTGGTCATCGCCAAGCATTTTCTTTTCCAGCAATGCCTGGACAACCTTCGGCGTACGCTCGTGCTCTCAATGACATCAGGTCGTACGACTTCACTCCAGTGAGCACTCCCTTGATCTCCAAACAGGATGATGCGAACGGCTGTGTGGAAGATCTACCGCTCAAGAACGTTGAAGGCCGCTACCTCGCCAAGTTTGTCGTTGACATGATCACGGATGTGAAATTCTCGGCTGTGGATTTCGAAGGGCTTGAAGAACGCATGTTGCAGAACCAATATGATCAGCTTCCGCCTCCATTTTGTCCCAAAGTAGAGATCTGCGCTCCTTTCAAGATGCAGCTTGCTATCATCAAGACCAGCATCACGGACTGCGTTATCTTGAAGTGCTACACGTTCGAGAACAAGACAAACATCCGAACCGTCGAGGACATTGCGTATGGGACATTGAAGATGATTGATTTCACACCCAACTTTCGTGCTGGACCATTGGCCATTCAGTTGATGCTCAAGGAGATGTCGCACTGGCTGGCCTACTACACTCAGATATCGCCCAAGCCTCCCAAGGAGCCCAAGCCGAAACAAGAGACTGATGATCTTCAAAACGGCTTTGCTTACATCAAGTCTAACGGGCCGCGGACTAACATGGGCAACCAGCAGATCGAATGGGCAGAGATTGAAACCAAGCGTGCAGAGAGTCCACTCCATGGATGGTCGGCAGGCTTGGTGAAGGAGTGTCTTCGAGGGCTCACAAGTGGTAATGTCTATGCGAAAACTGTGGAGAAGTTCTATCTGACTCTCCACGACCTCTCGGGCTGGCTGTTAGACGAGGTGCTCGTGCATCTTCTTGGCGAACTGAAGGCGAAAACTCTTGTCTTCCTTGGCCTGGCCGAAAAGGGAAAAACGCCGGCAGCAGAAGCGATATTGCAATGGCGGTCAGTGAGTATCACCTGCTCCGAGACAATCTAGATCCAACCATCAGGCCGGGTTTCAGAATTTGTGCGTCCTTGGATCAATTGCGTGGCGAGTCTGGCGAGAAGCATCGGCCAGACATTCTGGATGATCCAGATATGAACACACTGCCGATTCCCAAGCTCAAGAGTTTTCTTGACAGCACATTGCTTGAGTGCCACACGGTTGAACGATGGACAGCCGCTCGGTTCGTGCAACACCAGCTACGTGTGGTGTGTGACAACAAGGTGGACGAGAATGCAGAACCTGATGACACATGCGATACGACAACATCCTTCGAGATTTTCTTTGAGATGATCAAGCCAGCCTTCAACGAAAAGGCAAGCAGACAAGACATCATGGCATGCCTCAAACGAGCTCACTTTGTGGTCAACATGAACCACGCAGTCTTCTTTCGGAAGGCTGGCACTTCGAAAGGGCCCGTCACTCGCGTTCCCTACATCAATGGCAACAAGGATTTCCTCAGCCCTGTTGGCCAGAAGGTGATTGATGATATGCGCCAAGGCATTCCAGATCAGCCTGCGGACTGGGCTCAGAAGCGCCAATGGTCTCATGATCTTATGTCCATGCTCACAGAGACACAGCAGAAGCCTGCGCGGACAAGAGTTGTGTTTGAAGCCAACCTCTTCACTGAGAGCTCACAGAGGTACAATGAGATCAAACCCGACTTGCCGTTCTCAGGCCGAATCTGCCCTAATTTTTTATGCTCTGAAGATACACTCTCGATGCCAGCCAAGTCCACCTCTGTCGCCTCGATGGCACCTTCATCGTCGGCGGCACCTTCGCCCTCAGGGATGGCGCCTTCATTGTCGGCGGCACCTTCGCCCTCAGGCATCATGACAAAGGTGAAAGAGGAGTGTGTTGAAGGAGAAGGTTCGTTTGCCATGATGCTTTCGAATCCAGATGCGATTGGAGTCATTGACTTGGACCCCACTCCACCATCACCGTCACATAAGCGAATGCGTGGCAGTGACGAGATGGACTATGATAGCGATGACCACATGCCATTAGCAGGCGAAGACCCTGAGGAGTGAGCGGTTCCGACCTAGAGATCCTCCCGGGTAGAGTGCACCAATCGGATGTGGAGCTAGGACAGCTTCAGTTTTGATCCGAGATAGAGCGTCTGATGCAAATT